GTTTAAAAACTCACCTACAAATATATATATTGTATTTCATCTGAAGCTAAATATTGCCATAGATAAGACAACCTTTAACAAGTCCTTGTACTACTACCACCATTTTTTATTAACACAAATCATAATAATATTATGTTACCATAATAATAAATGAATAGCAACATTTTTCTCATTTTTGTGTATTTTTTTTAACTGACTTAATCTTAATCTAGCCTCACATTTTTAGATTGTAGAACCAGGTTACACTTTGAAGGTATTTTGCTAAAATATACCAAGGTTTCTCTTGTCTTGGGGAGGGGGTCAGGCATCAGTACGTCACAGTTGGGGAAAGGGAAGAGAGACCTGAGTGACTTCAGCAGTGAGGAATGTCGGTATGTGTGTGTGTGTGTGTGTGTCATCAGGACAGCTGCTCATCTCTGGCTGTGGGTCAGGGAGACGCAGACTTTAAATTTCCGTCGCAGCAGCGTTGGCCAGGACGCAGAGATTCTTCGGTGTAAAGGCCGTTCCTTTATTTATATTCACTCAGTCCGACTGCAGGTCACATCGTACAAAGACACAACAGTCATTTGAACAAGGAATACGAAGGCAAATGAGTTGGTGTCCAAAGTCTGGTTCCTGGTACTTACCAGGTGCACTGTTTTACTACTTAGTTTTGGATACATCTTGATAATAATTCAGTTATATTTAGCTTTTATTTACTTAATCTTTTAGATTTTTGTTTTTACTTCATTACTGGCTCTTTGTTTTTTAATTGATCTATTATTTTCTTATTTGCTTTTGTAAATATATATATAATTTTTAATATAAATACCACTAAAGTATATTTATGTATTATATATCAACTTTTGTTTTTATCAAGACAAATGTTGAGCTGGCTAACACTTCTTCATTAGCTAAAAGAAATGCGAAAAGATAGTGTCAGTTAACTTTGTTTCCAACTCATGGCGACAGCGTTTCAAAGCGGTGTACTGTATTTGTAGCAGTTTAAATATCACAGTTGACCCTGGGGTATTTTTTACTTTATTAAATTTTCCCCTCCCCTCCCCTTCTCTCCCCCTCTTCTCCCCCTCACCCTGGAGCAAAGCTTGCAAAAGCTGGGTTCCAAATCACAGACCCAAAAATACACGTGCCCTTTGGAGGACCTGCTGTTTCAAAAGAGGGTCAGGGGCTGGAGAGGTCGGTGAGTGGGGTTAAAGAAGGGCACGTTGTGAAGACAATTTCATTACCTTGGTGAAAAGGATCAACACTAGGGAAAAAAATGGTGGAGCCCCATGGTTCTGGATGGGACTTTTTTGGTATGCAGTTTGATTCCATGTAGGACAAAGAGCAGGTGATGCAGATCTGTTAAAGCCCCGACTTATACAACTGCCCCTCACGGGTTTAAATCTATTTCAGACAAAGGTTCGACACAGGGCTCAGACTCCAACCATGGGGTCCCTGAACCACACTTTAAATCCATGCAAGGATTTTAATAACAGTTTTTTATTATTATTATTTTGGCCCAAGATCATGGAAGAAAATGTGAATAGAATTTCTGCAGGTTTTAATGTAATGCCTGATTTATTCTAATTTTGGACTTCTGTTTGGTCTTTAGCTTTTCTGTTTTTTTTTTTGAAAATAAATTAACCCCCCCACATTTCTCCTCACTGGCAGCCATGTTCCGGGACAAAGGTGAGCCCCCATGTTGACCCCACCACAGTGTCATATAATTGCATTGTAAGGAAATTTCAGCACAGTTTAACCACAGCCACCTCAACCATCAACACAGTGACCACATTGAAATGGATGATGCAGCTGCTGAGCTAACGTCTCTGTGAACAGTGACTCCTGACTGTGGTGCGAGCCAAAGGAAGCTAGCGTGTCTTCATGTTTCCAGTGACGGCGCTGGTCACAAGCTCACGTCCCCCTACATGTCTTCGTCCTCCCAGCACATGGGTTTTATCCTTGTAAAGTCACATCAGACACTCGCTCTCTCTGCTTTTAGACGGACACTTCACATTAAAATTTTAAAAAGTGTAAAAAATATTTTTTATTTACGTTTTCCTGTCTTTGATCTAACTTTTGATATTTTTTTTTATATCTTTTGTCAAATGATCTTTTTAGCTGATTTTTTAATCTCTTTTGTCAAATGATCTTTTTAGCTGATTTATATATTTTCTTATTTTTTATATGTCCGTTTATGTCAATATATTTAAAGTTTTCCTTAATCCCTATTCAACTCAAGACACTGCAACCAACCTTATAGACTAAATAACATCTTAAAATTAAATGGCAAAAAGTTAAAAGCTTGCTAGCCAAAAGCTAGAAAGAAAACCAAATAGGATAGCCAAAAGTATAAGAAAACTTACTGTATAAATAGCTAAAATTAGTTAAAAATCAAGAAATATCTGCTAATAATTTAGCAACGAGAAACCCCCCCACCAATACACCATTAGACATCACAGAAGAAATGTGCCTCAGAAAATAACCAATAAAACCCAGTGATTCAATGAACAGCTTAAAGTCAGCTGAAATACACAAATCATCACCAACGTTTAGGCCAGGAAACGACTATGGTTAGCTTAAAGGTTTGCTTAAATTTAAAGCTAACCTTTAGTCCTGTCCTGATAAAATGACCAAGAAAAGATGCCACAAAATCATACTTGATGAGTAGAAATACTCACGTTGATGTCAAGTCTCTTTGCTCTCCATGGAGGAGCTGAGGTGGTTCTGGGAGCCGCAGCAGCGAGGGTCGAGCCTCCACTGGATACTTCAGAGTAGGTGGACAGACTGGACAAGCTTTCTTCTGATCTCCCAGAGTTCAGCAAAGTGCGGTTCTTGTCCTCCTGTCCCCTGGCCGCTGTCTGGACATGTCCATTCTCCACAATCTCCTGCCCACCTTTGCATCCGACCTCAGCAGAACTGCTCCCCACCTTTACACCTGCTAGACCTTCTACCAGACGGCCGAGGGCATCCAGCTTTGTCCTCAGCTGAAGGTTCTCCTCCTCCAGACGGGTCACCGTCTCTATCAAGGTTCTATTTGCGAGACAACGTTCCTCGATGGTCTGCTCTATGCGTTGCTTGAAGGCACTTATGTCCACATGGATCTCCCTCACAGCTGCATGAAGGGTGGTCTTAAACTGATCCAAAGTTTTACTCACCACGGGGTCCTGAACCCCTTCTATAGAAACGTCCATGGCTCTGTTCTGGTGAAGTTGCAGGTCAGATGAGTAATGGCGTAGACCTCAGAAACCACAACCTTTCTTCACGTCTTCAGTGAGCTCTGCTGCAGGATTTCGCTTTTTCTTTAGTCTGGATTTTTGCTTCCATGCCAGTCATAAAATAACAGCTCAAGAGCAGAATCTCAATGTCCCACCATCTCCATGGACGACGTCTTTCTTCAACGTGCGTCTCCTGTCACCCTCTGCTCTCATCTGGTCAAAGCAAGAGAGGTTGTTATTTATAAGCCACAGAAAAAAACGTGCACAATGTCATCCAGGGAGAAGAGATCACGCAGTTCCAAGACAGATCAAGTTCTCAGTTTGTGCATTGAGCTGAGGAAAGATCTAACTAACCTTTCAGAAGAATCCAGCAGAAGAGGCAGACATGCATCCATCCAGTGGCTCATGAGTTCCCTGGACATTTGCAGTCTCCGTCGCTCCTGCTCCTCAGTGTGTTGTTAGAGTTATTTGTGTCGTCTGCATTTGACTGCAACAGGTTCGCCTGGCACTATTTTGAGAGCTCACAAAAGCTTTTTATATGTTTGGTGTTGGATCATCTTAATTTGAGTTTTTTAAAACAGTTCCTTTGACTACTCTTAAGGTCTCCGGGATAACTTTTGGCATACTGTTATACCATTTGTTGCAAAATTCTGGATATTATTAGCCTAAAAGTTAGTGTACTGTCGAGGTATTTTATTTGTATGCTATTTCAGGCTAACGTTTCTTTAGATTAATACTTTTTGCTCGTTTTTGGCTTAGATTTCATTGACTATAATGATAAAGTTCTGGTCTAAATTTAGCCATTACAAATTTACAACATTTAGTCCACAGACTACCATTACAGTCTGTGGACTAATTATTGTCATCATGTCATGTTTTGGCTGTTTTCTTTCTAAACCTCTAGCTACTTCTTGCCTAAATTTGAGTTCCTTTAGACTTTTCTTTAGCCACTTTGAGCAAAGACTTAACATTTTCTTGGTTTTCCAAAAAAGTAATAGCAGAACTTTTGTGGAATAAAATAAAATGCTTTCCTAATTTCACTTAAAAAAAATTCTAATTTCACAAAAATGAAAGATGGAAAAAATGTATTTCATAACATGGACACACATGGACACACACAGCGACATGAGTGAATTAGAAACATCCCGCAACTGTGCAGCTCAGTCTCAGACGCCTGTTCTTGATGACAGTGCCCCTCTGTGGACATAACTTGCTATTGCAGATGAGTAAACCACTAAAGAAACCCTCATTGGAGCTGAAGTGACAAACATCAGGTACCAGCTTCTGAACCATTTAATGAATCTTCATATTTAACCACGGTATAACCAAATAACCCCACTGGACAGATTTTCAAAACAGTCTATGAAATTACTTTTATTGAATTTTAAAAGGGTGCTTTGAATTTACAGGTTGCAGCTACAGTGGATAACTCCTCTGACATCATTATATGCCTTTAGTTTAATCATTAAAAAACAAGATCAGTCTAATGTTAAGACAGCAAAATACCTCAAAAAAGATCTATTTAGGTAAGAAACACCTTAAAGGTATCAAAAATTAGGCAAAACAGGAAATGTTAAAAGTGGTGAAGTTGCTGCCTTTAAATAAATCATTTAAATATCCTAATGCAAACAAACGGTGATCATTATGAAAAGCTGAGAAAAAAAAGTTAAATGACAGCACACCCATCAAACTGAGAGCCAAAAGTCCAAAAACAACGAAAACACTTCAAACAGATTTAACACCACGATGTCTACACCTTAAAGAGGTTTCCTTCAAAATGACCCAGGTCCACAGAAGTTATTTAAAACTATGCAAGTAAATATGAAATCCTACTGAAATTTAACTCAATGGCTATAATTAAAAGAAAAGCCGACGTTGAGCTCAAGTTGTAGATGATCTCGAAGTTTGTATTTTAACGACATTTTGAGTCGACGTACCAGATACTAACCCATTGTTGACGACTGTGTTAACAATTAACAATGCAGCGACTTCCGACTGTAAAAAATGTTAATTAAGAATTTACATGCCAAATCCCATTAAAAACAAAAAATCTGTGTTTTTTTTTAGCTCGGGCAATGCAGGAGCTGCTCATCAACTGCTGCCTGAAATTTGGTTGGTGATTTGTTACATTCAAGCCAATTTAAACACTGAGAACAATATTTAACACATGAGAATTGACTTATTAACACAGCAGAGAATCAGCAACTCCACTCTGCTGATATTAAAATGGCCAATAATTGTAGTGAACTTTGTCTTACAAAGCAACGACAAACTGCATTTTCTTGTAAGAAAAAACTCGAGTGACTAAATGACAAACATGTCTAAACTGAACTCTTCCACCTTTCAGGGAGATTTAGGAAAGTGGACTTGTTTGAGTTTAGTGAAGACGTGTAAGTCCTCAGAACAACAAGATCATCTTCTACTTAGATCTCAAAAAGAATCTTAAACTAAAGAAGTGATATGTATTTGAAAACGCTCCAGAATGTCCTGACGTTGACTTTGAAGCTTTTCAGAATGACCTTCAGGACTTCATGGTTGTAGCTCGTGCTACATATACAACAATGGCATGTAAACACTACCTGTCAGCTACAGCTTTCATGATGAGATATGTATCGGTGTCACAAAGAGATGAACCACAAGGCACTGGTTACAGATCAATATCAACAATGCTTGCGAGTGACAAATTCATTGTTTTGTTGCATCATACCAGAAGCAAATCAACAAAATTCCAATTTAAAAATTCAAATATTTCCTCCAGTTTCACTAAAAGACTTCAAACATTTTTTTCAATTAAACCCTAGGCTGTAGTTACTGTGTGATTCAGCAGGTGGTGCCCTTTCTTCAGGAGTCACCACACTGGTAGTCCACATAGCCATTTTAACACCAGATGCAACCCAAACTGGGATTAGGGCTAGTCCCTAATTGAATATAACCCGGAATATAATATAACACAACAGTCAAGTCAGTCAATCTCAGCACTGCACCACCTTAGACCCGAACCTATAACCTCTTCATCACCAAAAGACAATGACACTAGTTTGTCTTAAGCGACACGATGATCAACTTTAGAGGACAACAAACATGGGATCTACAGAACCCAGTATACACCGCTTGTCCCAGGATTGCTGCATGATCACTGTTAATGTCTCCGTGCCTGCACATACAAGCAAACCCAAGCGAGCAAAGATTTTTGTTAGCTCTTGGTAAAACAAATTATTGGTCAGACCCTCGAAAGATTTGAAACGTTGTTTTTGTGTGTGTGTGTGGTATGGGGGAGGTAGCTACTTTTGTGTATGCTCACCAACAGTTAATGGAAAAAAGGAAATGAATCCAAACCAGATTTTTCTGCGTCCTCAATCACTTAAGTTGCTAAAGTGCCTGACAGTCTTTGGTTAACCAAACCCTGGGACTATCACAAAACCAAAGAAGGGAGACTATGGTAGAAAAAAACAAGAAGAAAAAAAAGAGAGAATCTAAAAGGAACGTATAAACACAAATGTGTTTAAAATGTACACAGCTTTAAAACAGAAATTTCTTCACTTTTGTTTTCATATCGTTCACATACTATGTTATAACAGTAAATTTCAGAAAGACACAGGCACAGTGCAAAAGTTTTAGGCGGGTACACACATTCACAGCCTTTCCTTCTTAACTATTTAAAGGAAATGTAGAGATACAGAAGATCATCTGCAACTTAAACTGTTGAAAGTTCGACTGCCCCCCATTCTCCATATATTGCAGTCTGCCATAGTGCTATGCAGCCGGAACCCATGACCTGCTCAGCCAGGGTAGAGGACTTCAACGACTACGAACCACATGAGAAACAAACTTCTGTTCTTTACGTTTGCTTTAAATGCTTGAGAAAATAAAAGGACAAAAAGAGAAATAGAAGGAAAAGGCTGCAAAAAATGTCTGATGTACAGAGCATCTCCAGATGCCGCCTAAAAATTCTGCTCTGCACTACATACTGTAGGCTTCAAACCCTTCATTTAACCCTGAGCAAAAAAGCTGAATTTAAGACTTTATTTCTATTAAGAATTTACAAATTCTCAATAGTGTGTGACTGGACTAGTGAAAAGTCTCTCAGGTCAAAAATGCCAAATAGCACATTGATGAAAATATCCTGTACTGTTTAAAACCACAAGAGTTTTAAAAAATTAAGTTTTAAGAGTACGAACAGTGCAAAGAGAAGATGATGCGAGAAGGTGATTTTTTTAAAACAAAGTGGCTGAGAGAACTGAAGAAGATAATCATCTACCTGCACTCTCCAGGACTCTAGCCCAACCAGACAATACATGCCAGTAGTTGTTTGCCACTGCTCACAGTTAGTGTTCACACTTACTCTCACACTGTTGGTCAGCAAATATTAGACAACGGACCTTCAGCTTTACCTCCACCGTCCAACTGTATACCTTCACAGGTGAGGGCAAACACAGAGGACACTCGAAGTCTAAGTGGAAATGACACGCGGCTTTAAATGATGAGCAGAAAATATTGCACCAGAACGAATACATGTGAATTGAATGTAGTGTTGTATTAATGTGTTTAGAGCCTCTTATGCACTGATAGCTTCCAAAAAAAAAAAAATAATAATAATAATTAAAAATCACACACTCTTAACCACTTCAGTTTGCACGACCAAAAATTTAGGCTAGCATTTAAACCAGTTCTATCCCAGGCATTAAACCCTGCAGACTGACATCATCAAAACAATTACTTTTAGCTACAGTTGATTAACGGAAGATAAATATTTTTATGCAACTGTAAATCTAACAGTGTCTGAGTAACAATAATAATTTTTCTTCATGATTAAACGTAATTCTCTGTGATATTTAGATATGTTTCATCTTTCTCAACAAAAATGTCCAAAAGGATAAATTATATACAGTTTGTGATGTGCTCAATAAAACACCTGATAGACAAGTACAAGTTAATACCTGCAGTACTTCCACTCATACTGTGTCACCTTCTACATTTGTTATATAATATCGTGGAAAGAGTATGGCTTTGTTAAAAGCAAACTGTGCATGAACATGGACACAACGCTATCTGGTGGCCGATACCCACTATTTTTTGTGCCCTGGGTGAGATTATCGTTTAGTGCCCCGTGGTCGCCCATTGTAGTCGTTTTATTTCTGGGGGAATACAGCATTGCCCCTCCAGTAGATGGCTAGCTATGCAACAGTCTATGTGGCATTTGCCAAGAGTTGGATCTGCAGATACCACAAGCCGGTGCTGTATACTCTGTATACAGAACGATAGTGGCTCCCAGAATGGAAACCCAAAAAGAACCCAGAAGAACCTGAAACCCAAATCTGAGCTGGAGGTTACAGCTAGGAATGTTGAATTGTCGCCACAGGTCATGCTGTTGTAGCTTGAACTGTTGACAATCAAATGTGATCTTTGTTTAAATACTCAAAAACAAAGTTTTTCTAATCTTTCGTCTGTTTGATAAGTAAATGAATGATAAAATAAACTCATTAACATCCAATATTAAAAATAGCAACACAAAATAAATAGAACCATTCTGAAATGCTCACAACAACACGCACTCTGTAACAGATCATCCAGACCAGCAGCAGCTTTGATCACAGTAGGAGACTGAAGCAGGATTCACACATACACAATGATCTGATTCACACTAATCTACATCCACGCTAATCTGTTTTTGTATACAAATACATGAGGCAATTGTGGAGCTGCCTGGCCAACTGACCCATCTCTCTCTCTGTCCAAGCAGAGAGGTTTTATTTAAAATAATAATTAAAAGAAAAAACTGGATCTGAGTATTTCAAATTATCATCAATTTCCCTGATATGAGTGCTAAAAATTAATATTTCAGATGCATCAATGAATAGTAATAAGGGTTCAATCCGGAGATCGTCTAAACATCGCATTTTGGGGTAAAAACAATTATAATTGACAGAATTCTAAGAATGGAAATTTGCCAGTGGTGTGGCCAGCAGTGGAACTGCAAGCAAATATGTTATTTCTAGATTGACATGGAGAAGTAGGCTGCTGTCTTTGCAACACATTTTAGATGACCCATAGAGCCATTGATGGAATGCAAAATAAATAATAAATCACAGAACAACAAATGACACTTGATCTGCTCCTTAGGTCTTTGTTGGCAGCTTAAAATTAGCATGGTACAATACATGCAGTAGCCTGGGGGGGGGCAGGGGGGGTCTTAACGGTGAATATCCCCTCCTAGTAATTTTTTAATCCAATATAGAGGAAGGTTTGTTGTCAAGGAAGTTGCGTTTGTATGGTCAACGACTAGATCAAAACCAACCAAAATGCTGGTGGGGCCAGAGCTCGTAAATGAAGAAAAAAAACAGAGTAGCATGGACGCAGCTTGTGTATCATTGGCCGAGGCTAAATCCCAGAGTATGCATCTACGAGATGAAAAAAAAAAAAAGTTAAAATCTTGAAAGTTGTAGGAACCAGGTGTGTATAGAGGCTGATGATGCATCTGGGTGTTTAGAGGTCAATTCTTGTGGGTTACTCACAGCATTGTGGATTGAACACGCAGTCATCACCATTTATGTAGAGGACTAATGCTCTGTAGTCCAACTAAGACCTCTCCATCTTACATCTTCACCAAGTCCTAAGCCAATGTTGCTCACTGGAGCATTGCATGCGTGTGAATCCAGCTTTACAGATGAGATGTCAGTCCTTCTTTATATTTAGGGTTTTCTAATCAGGTAGTTTGACCTTGACCTTTCTTCAGTGTGAGAAATGTTGATAGACGCAACATGGATCAGGCAAGAACCGAATCCCAAAATTATTTGAAATATTAGACTTCAGTAGCAGAAAAAAGTTCCACGTAGAGTTCCACTTAGGGAGCAGATATGTAACGGAGGAAGTGAAGTGTGTGGAAGATGCTCAGGACTTGTCCTCGGATCCTGAAGCACTACAGCACAGCTGTGGAATATTAAAATATTCAAGTCAAATAAGCTAGTAGCAGTCAAGTATGTAGGTTAAAGTTGTGGAGCAGACATCAATCGTCCTTGGAATTGTCAGTCACATTGACCACTGGACTGCGGCTGCGCTTGTACAGGCGGTAGCCCTTTCGGCAGAGCAGGACGAACCAGTAGACCTGCGGTGCCAAGATGCAAGAGCTACCGAGGGTGGCGGCGAGCGGCAGGTGGAAGGGGACGCTGTAGAGCGGGATGCCGTAATGACGGCCGTACATCCAGTACATGAAGGGGAAGAGGGCAATGCGGCACATGAAGAAGCTGAGCAGCACCATGGCGCCATTGGCCTTGTGCAGCCAGCATTCCTGGAGGCTGAGCTGGAGGAGGGGGAAGAACAAGGACAGCTAAGTTAGTCTTCATTTGATCTATTGGGGCTGGGATCCTCCTAAGAAATAAAAACAATGTACTGTGTTATTTTAAGATAAAAAAAAGTACATCTGCTGTTGTAGAGTTGAGAAAGATTTTCTAGGAGAAACGCTTGGTAGTGTTAGTTAAGTCCAGAAGAGGGCAGCCTTACTTTTTGCACAGGATTATTTTCTGTGCTGCTACTCTCTCCAGACAGCAGATGTCAGTAGATATCAGAGAGCACACGGTCCAGTGATTCCACAGAGGAACACACTAATGGACTCGGTCTATTCTTAGTAAGAACACAAGGCCTCAGAGAAACATTTGTGGTTACTTCAGTGTTCTGATGTTATGGCCAGTGTTTGTATTGAACCAATGAAGGCAGAGGCTCCAGTGAACAAGACAGTATTAAAGGGAAATAAACAGTTCCTTTTAGCTAAATACTGCAGTTTTTGTTTTCCCAGTGGTGAGCCAGTTCACATCAATTATTGATGGTACAATGCTGTGAAATGTGTTCTGAGGTATTTAGATCACTTTGAATCATCTCCAGGGCAATTATGGTAATTCTTCTGAATGCTTTTGTTTACACTTACACTATTTCAGGACCAACTACAAATGTAATGGTTTAGCTAATTATATAAATTTTTATACTTGGGTAATGTGGCTACAGTTTATCCACATTTAATAATTTGGCAAAGCAGAGGGTAAACACGTGTGGGTGTCACAGTAGAAGTCCCTAAATTGTTTTGGTTGGTTTCATAAAAATATGTACTATGTATATGTAATAACGCTGTGACCATAAGCCTGTACTTCAACTATAACTGTAAATGCACTGTTTTATTTTTATCTTTTGCACCTTATTTACAAAGGCAAAGACTTTTATTTTGACAGGCATCTTGACACGTGTCAACAAAGTTGCAATTGGGAATCAAGATGGTCATTTTTTCCCATCATAAAATCTAAAATAAATATATTAATTCATGTTAATTAAGAGTAACGACTCAGCATCTTTGTCATGCTTCATTCAAGTTTAGTAAAATACTATGAGTGTTCTTAAGCATTAAAAGCCCTTATTACAAATACAACAAGTATGGACGGCGATATTCTAATTGCATTTTTCCCCAAGCCCCTGTTAATTTGCAACCCTGGATTGTGCATCTGCTGTGTCTCACCTGAATGAGTATCTTCCCCAGGGACACGAAGGGAGTGCTGAGCTCGGTTAGAAACAAGCAGCCAATGAAGAAATCCCCCTGGTCCTTCCTGCAGAACTAATGTACGGACAAACACAGAGCAGCCAGCGTGAGCAAACAAACATGAGCATGGAAACAAACACAGCTGATATTCAAGCACAACATTTGGTGCTTAAACTGTTAAAGAGATAGGAGCTTTTTTTAAAGCCCAGGCCTGAGGAAGTTTGTTTTTAACATACATGACGTTCTTCCTGTTGTTGATTTATAGAACAAAAAACAAAAACAAAAAAAGTTAGTCTACTACGACCAGCTACAAATTATTTTATTAGTTTTTTTTTTTTGTTTATTTCTTTTTTTGTTTTTTAAACACTTTTTCCCTCAAAGAATATGAATCCAGCCATCAACCTTCTCCACATATTTCACCTCAGGATCTTGCTCTTTCTGTTGTTTTGTCCTTTTCTTTTTTCTTTTGCAATTTTTGGCATTTTGTTCTGTTTACATTTTGTTTACTTTTTATTTTGCAATTCATATATTTTGCCTTTTTTATTTTGCTCACCTTGAAGTTTTTACCATTTGTCCTTTCTACAGTTAAGCCATTTTTCAAAACTATTTTTTTTCCTGCCTTTTTTTTATTTCTTTTCCATTTTTGTAAGCTATTTTTCATATCTTTAAATATTTTTTACTATTAATTTGATTAGTCATGGTGTAGTTAAAGATGAACAAAACTTAAGTGTTTAACTCATCTATACAACGTTCAGTGTTATTTCATAAACCACCTAAAAAAAACCAAAATGGCATATTTTAGCACCCTAGTTTTCATAAACCACCTAAAAAAACCCAAAATGGCATATTTTAGCACCCTAGTTTCTTGCGTTAATGAATCTGCCAAAACGCTAGCTTGACTGTATTTACAGTTTAACTGGCAATGTAACTAGTAAATACAGAAAAAGTGCAAAACAGGCTACAAGAATGACAGCAGGGAAGCAATGCAGGTGTTGAAGATTCATCATTCAATAAAGGTTTTTTCAGATACTAGTCAAAAGGTAATTCCTTCTTGTCAAAACGATGTTGTTAATGTCTGTGGTGTCAGTTGCACATGATGAGACAAAGACATTAGATGTTCACTGAGCATATCTCCGTCTACCACAAGTTCAGGACAGTTTAAAAGGCAAGGAGAGATGCCGTGATGGTCCAGAGGAGGGAGCGGTGTCCTCTACATTAGTAATGAAGTGAAGCTTTCAAATATTGACCAGTGGCGAGTAGCGGTGTGGTGGAGGAGGCCATCCTAGAATAAGCAAGAGGCGCTCCAGGAGACTAAAGTGACTTCGGACAAAAGACAGGCACTGTCCAGTAGTCCACCTCACTCTGCACTGACAATGAATAAAGCATGAGTGGCTCCAGACGTGCTCTCGCCATCTGCCTGTCAAAGAATGACTGAGACCTCAGAGGGAAACTATACACCACCTGGCTACCTTAACCAACCCATCTCTTCTCTCCCCTCCCCCCACAGGCATAAGTGTTACTGTATTACTACTGTACGTGCTGTAGAAGCTGTACACAAAAAAAAAAACACACACACAGAGAAGTTAATCTTTTCTCTTAACATTTTGCACCTGAATACTGAAAACTATCAGTGAGACGTGACATAAACCTGTTAGTTTACTGTAAATGTCTGTTATTCCTGGGTTCACCAGGATTCTTTGTGGCTGCTTTTATCTGATGTCAGTTGTGCCTCCAGCGTTTATCAAGTCCAGAGTCCAGAAAAAAAATATTTTAGGCTCTCAAACGTTTACTGCATAAATAGAAAAAAAAAATTTTAGGCTCTCAAACGTTTACTGCATTTAATGTCTTGTTGTATTTTAGCAAAAGTTTAGATGAGTATTTAGTGAATATATCTTTTAGCTATCCTTTAACTCTTCTTTTCTTTTTGTTGATTTTTTTTCACCCAAAACAGAAGCACTTCTGGATGTGGTGCTGGTGAGACGTGAGTTTAACTGGTTTACCAACAGATTAATTTAGAGAGAAATAACCTTTAGTTTGTTACTTTAAACACATACACATAAACCTGCTAAGCTGGTTTTATTGCTGGAGAAATAAATAAAAGATGCATATTATTTTCATTTTATGTCTAAGGTTTTGGCAAACATTTAGCTATTTTAATTTGAAATATACATTTGCAAATTTATTTTGTGCAGCATCTTTTTGGCCATTGTTATGATTAGTATACTTTACATGAATTATCCCACGATTTGTGACGCTTTAGCTTCATCTGTGGTAACAGAAAGTTGGGGGCTAAAAAAAAAATTATTATTTTTTAATTAGAGACTATATTTATGGGCTTTCGCTTTATGCTCAGGAATTAGTATCTATAAAAAAGAACCTACAAAGAGTAGCATCTTTAGCTGTCTGCTGTATGAGGCTAACAGTACAAGCTATTACCTAGGCAAGTCAGAACACCGCCAAGTGACAGACAACATGAGTAACAAAGGGAGGGGCTGGTGAGTATGGAGAACAGACTGGGTGACTGCAGTCGGAGCTAAATAATGTAGAGTAATGTGATCTCATAATAAGGTTGACTGCTACAAACAAAAGGCTGGGTTTCCACTGCACCTGGTCTGCTAACCTGGTAGACCAGTTGGACAGAAGCAGTGATGGCTGCACTATTTGGTTTAAGTTGAATGTACTCTTCATCCCCAGTGAAGTCAAGCACATTCTCAAGCACTATTAAAATAGTCAGCACACGTTAGCCTTGAGCCAGAGTTTTGACTAATCACTGGCAGCCTCACCTTGATTCTTTCGGCTACCTTCAAGCTACTTATGTAGGCATAACTATTTTTTAACTTTAATTCTGAAGGACACAATTAAAGTTATCTCTAAAATAATTCTGTTATCTTTGGCTAACATTGATGGGTTTATGGATAACGTTTACCTTTTGTCAGCTTATCCCTCAGTTATCTTTTAGTTTATTGCTAGCCCTTTATTTTTTTCTGGAACCACATAACCAACTTCAGTGCAGCTTGAAATTGGACTTCCAGATACTGGATGATTACTCGATCCATGAGCTGAACCACCATGTCTATAATTTGTTGCCACTTAACCATTAGGAAGTGATCATTAGAAGATAATGCAGTTTAAAGGAGGCATCGACTTAATGGATAACATTACAGAATTACTGGCAATGGACATTATCAAAAACAAACAAACAAAACAAAAAACACATTGCTATGACAAGCGACGTGTAACGCCTCCTATGTTTACAGAAAAAAAAGCAATGCCTGAGAACAAGATCTAAAAATTTACGAAATTAATTAATTAATTAATTAGCAAGAATGTGTCCACTCACCAGTGTAACCGGCAGAAGGATGGTGAGCAAGGCGATGTGATGCAGCACCAGCAGGAACTCCTTTTGAATAAAGGAGTTAACAGTTCTCAGTGAATGCTTTTTGTAGTCATCGTGGCCCTTGGCATGGAAACGGTAGTAGTGACTGAGGTACATGGCAAAGATGTCGTACGTCATGTAGGGCACACCGTACCAGATGACAAAGTGGGTGGCCAGCCAGTGTCTAAAAACATATATAAATATTTACATATATATAAACAGATACTTCCAGATGTTCATTAACATGTTACATACATATATATATATATATATGAGGACATAACAAATGTATTATGTTACTTGTTGATATTTTCAATATTTTGTTATCATTACCATCATTGTTTCTAAGAATGTTTTAATGTATCGCCACACCGCCACCTGCTGCTCCCTCACCTTGCCTGTCTATTTCTGTCACATTTCTTTTGAGTTAATAAAAGATATCCTATGGCAACGAGGAATGTAAGTTTGAGCAGAGAGCAAAAAAACAACAACATGACAATAATTTAACAAGCGAAACTCAAAGCATGACTAAATGCTAAGGAGTCAAACTGATCACTCACTTTGCATTTTTGAGACCAAAAACTATAATTTTGTGGGGACACATATATAGAGTTGCATGTCATTATGGCAAGAGTGAGTCCCAACCAACATCATGTGTATGTGTGTTGACATCATTTTGACAAACATTTTAGAACAAATTTATTTATGTTAAAAGTCTAGTTACAGCCCAACTAAGACACTGGTGACTTTTATCTGATGTCATAAAAACCATAGAAAGCATCCCATGGAGATAAACAACTAGGACAGAAAATTTAATTTCCACAGTTTAATCACACAGAGACGACTCTCTTAAGCTGTTGCACTTAAAACATAATAGGACATAATGCAGACTTTGGTATGTGCGTATGGTAAACAGCTTGCAACTGCTGCATGCTAACAGTGCCTGATTAAGGAGATGGTTAATTATGTAGACAGGATAGAGTAAAGCCACGGGCCAGAGCTGAGCTACTGACCTTTGACCTATCACTAAGTTCTTAAGGCCAGAGGAGGGAGATTAAAAGCAGTGGGGCACAACAAACCACTCGGGGAAGGAAGGAGGCTGTATGTTTGTGTGCTGGATACATTTGCTAAATACAGAAAAAGAAAGCAAATAGATGAATATTGTGGCTTTTCTTGATGCACAATCTTTTAGCGTTAGTTAATGAACTGTCACAAAGTGATGTCAGTTCAACGCCAGAGCATGACTGTGATAAGCTATAGACCATGTGCATGTGACAGGATGGCAAAACTGAGCAGCGCTGTGGAGGCTTTAATCCGGTGGACGAAGGGGGAGCAGCGCTGAAGATTAACAGCCTGAAACTGGGCCTGCTCTGGGTTCTGGGCGCTGACTCAGTAGGATTAATATGCAAGCATTAGCTTTTTGCACAGCTTTGGGCTAACAGGAAGCTAACACCAACATACTGCCCTGTGGCTGTTATGGGAGCAGGTAGGCCTTGGTGGGGAAGGAATGTGGACTAGCCAGGAAAAGAAACAATATGACAGAAGAACCACTGTGCTGCACTTTTTTGTTTTGTTTGGTGGGAAACACCAGGTACGAGTATTACTTTGACACAAACAAAAGTTTTTATTCAGGCAGGCCAGTGTTTCACCATATAAACAAATACCAACGTGTGAAGGTGTATGTTAAGGTTCTCTGTCATCCAGTTAATGTTAATCCTCTAAGTTAAGAGGTAGATAACTTATTTCTGAAACAACAACTTATACATAGGTTCATTTGTTAATCAGTTTTACTCATTTAATTAAAAGAAAAATCCTCAATATTCCATACTGGTTTCTATTAACTTTAAAATGGTAAATGTGATAAATAACTTAAAAACATACACTTAAACAAACACTTAAAAAAATAAAAACATGTTATAATTTACTCTTTAAAAAAAGCTAAACTGATGCCACTGATCACTCAAGTGTGATTTTCTTCTCTCTTAAAGTTATACAATATATTTTGCAGCATTCAAAAAACAGAAAACAAGAAAATTCAATTGTCAACAGTTGCATGAAAGAAAAGTGATGACATGGAGTCTAACCTGTCGTTAATGACGTCCCTGCATGATGATACAATGATGACTCCTGCGGTTGTTGCCATGATGGCATGGATGGAGGACACCAGTCTGAGAAAGAGACAGACACATGAAAAAAAACAGACAGAGAGAATGATGGTGACGAGGGACTGAAGCAATACATTCATGAACATGTGTAAATCACTCAAGAGAGCTACAGCATGAAATATGATAACAAGAGTACTACAAAAAAAAGCACAGCAAAAAATCTTGTTACCAGCAGCTCAGCAGTACAAAGTATACAACTCTCCTTAGCTGACACACAATTTTAGTTTTGAAAAAACGTTAATTTTATTTAAATAATTAGAGAAAACAATTAAAAACAAAAACAAATAAATTGCATCCTATTTGTTATCTAAATTTTGGCATGCTAGTAAAATTTGTGTATTCACACCTGCACAGTAGGTGGAAATTCACCTTAAGTTCTGCTTGCATTTTTGGTGGAAAGAAGATACATTTAAATGAATGTTTATGAAAAGTACATGTGTATTTATTGATTCAGTTGTCAACCAACAATGAGTAATTAATTATAACACATCAAAACATTTATTTATGATCCACATCCAGCGGAAATGTTTGTATATTAATGGATGTACCTCCTGGAAAGGGGGTTTGGATTTCATCTAGTAAACAGAAGTCCAGCCAGGAGAGGCCTTACTATTGACCAGATCATTTAAGTTCACATCTCATCTCTCAAGATAGATCAGTTAAACTATGAATGTTATGTATGCCACGTCACACACTGACACTTCAAATACAGATGCACCAAGTTCTCCTATGACACAGGTCTGTTTATAGACAAGGAAAAGTCCAGCCTTAGCATTGCTAATACCAGGATGACTCACTGTTGGAAATCATAATGCTTGGGCTGTTCACCTGAAGGGACACTGTAACCGCTGTAGGCTACAACTGTGTGGTTGTATAGTTTATGCATATGTAAATAGGTACATCCACTTTATCTGCCCACATACTCCCATATGTGTGGATTACTTTTCCCATGGTTGTAAAGCAATACACCCACTGGGGGCAGTACAAACTTATTTCCAGGATAACGTTGGTTTCTCAGAAAATACAAATGGTGGAGGTCATGATAATGTTCCTGAGAAATCTGTCTCTGGGTCCCATCATTTCTATTTTGTCTTCGTTGTGTCTTCGCTTTACGGAGGCACGGGAGCTATACTGTATAACACTGCGCCCAAAATTTCCAATGGTGCTGTTCACTTTCACACCTTCAGGTACACACCCAGTACCATGAACGTACAAAGTGATGTATGTTACAGCACAGGATTCATAATTACCATCCAGTAGAAACTAGGCTTGACGACTAAGCTTCAAAAGTTGGAAAGTGGACTAGCTTAGGTTATTTCTAAGCTTTTTATCTCTCTTCCACAGTTCTAACTGACTACTTGAAAATGATGTTATGTCATGAAACCAAAATTTTGTCACTGGACTTCCTCATCCTATTTTTATTTGTTTGTTTTTTCTATAATTCAGAGGCTGTCCAAATCACCACAAACACTTTTTCCAGGTATTTCCAGGCATGTTAGTTAGTCAAAAATAACACTGAATATTTCAGGGCGCCACTGAAGTGTACAAACATTTTTGAAAACTGGGTTTTTAAATCTTAGATGACATTTAATGAACTGTCAGGGGGTTCAACACTGATTTCTGTATCCTAACGCTACAACAGAGATGTTTTTGTCCATTATAAATGGGATGTTGAATTATGTCACCAATTTGTTCAAAGTATGAATGGCTGCTTTTGCTCAGGCCAGTTCTCTCTCCCCTGGCTTTTCTCCAACTTGGCAATACTGAGGGGAAGCTGCTTTAAAATCAGAAAACTTGTAACTAAGAAAACAGGTAGCTAAACATTTAACATACAAGTTAACACCAGTATGACTTAAAGTGCAAGCCCATTGTTACAGAACCGCTTTTCTGAAAAAGCTTGACACAGAATCAAACTTTTAATATTGGCTCCTTTTATTTGGTTATTGGCATATTATTGTTTTAAAAAAGGGCACATCTGGAAACATTAGAGCCGTAAGGATGTAGGGACAACTCCTAGCAGCTTCATATAACAATAATATTGCCAAAGTGACTTTGGCTACAGTTCATCTTTGCAGACGAGTAAATGGCCTGTTACTTCAAACCGTGCAAGTTTACACAACATTTTGTAAGCTCACTGGGCCTACAGAGCTGTGCAGTTGGTGCTAGATTGCCAACTGTTTACTTGACAGGCTTCTGATAGCAAAAGATATAACATAACAGTAATAATAGAGGTCATTTTTCCTACCAGATGATCCTGGATTGAGTTTAAATCTTAAAAATCTATGAGAGCTCAAGCAAAGCTTTAGACTGGAGTTCATAATGTGCATAACAGTTTGCTTAACAAGGCCAACAAAGTCTTCTTTGTTTCACTGTTAACAAGTTATGATGCTTGGGGTTTCCTGCTTTTACTTGGTGACAATTAACACCAGTGTCTGACTTGAAATGTGGTTATACACAAGCCTCAGCAAGGCAATTTGGAAACCACATGACCCGTTATCAGAAAATATCTCTTGCCCCTTTAATCCAAAAACTCAAGAAACATTTCACCACCTACTCCCCATGTGATAGGCTTGTTTGGTGGCATTTTCAGTCACAAGACCCTGATTTTACACAGCTCATTCATTGTGTGTCCGTCAATAACCTCCAACCATTACCCTACTCCTTCTTCCCTACTTTTTTCTGCTGATGAAAGGTTCAGGTTGAAAGGGTGAGGAGTGTGCAAAGGGGGAAGAATAGGGAAGAATGCTTCGCTGCCTTGTCCAGCAATGTTGGTTTTCTTTCCTGCTGCGTCAGGCCGGCAAATAACCTCGTCTTTCACTTCAACCAAGTCTTCCCACAGTTTGCTTGCTCTTGTCTCACACATGGTGTCTGACAGACAGTGTTGGTGCTTCTACTGTAACTGGACTGTATAATCTCTGCTTCCACTAATGCAGCAGCAGCAGAGTGAGACAAAAAGTGACAACACAGCCAAAGAGGAAAACAAGGAGACATGCTGATGGAAAGTGGAACTGGAGAAAATGATGTTTTGCCAATTGACCAGTTAAAGATTGATATCAACTAATCTGTTGAGAATTTCATTATTTGCAAAAGTTAATTCTTATTTACCGTTTGTGTGGTTATATGTAGTTTTATGGTGTCTGGGTATGTTTCAGGCCCCACCATATTTACAATTTTCTGGGGCTTTTTCTGGAACAGCATTTGCATTGAGTGATGTAAAAGAAACTAGCATGACTACAGGCTGACATTAACGTGTTAGAGTGGATACAGTAGAGAGCAAAGGCTGGTTTAGCAGTAGAGAACAAGCAGTGTGTCATCCCCTGAGGCAGAGACGGATGTAGGAACAATGTTTTCTGTTTGATGAGCATTAGGAAAATTAGTAGAAGTGTTTATTCAGGAGCAGGCTCTGTGTTTTCCAGTGCATAGCTAACTCAGCAGTCAGCTCTGAGGATTAGCGAGAGTGACAGCGTACAAATGAGTGTTGAACTGAGCGGTGCACACATGAGCAAGTCATGCTGACAGACACACGCACACGTAACAGAGATGCACTAAATAATTCTTGCTACTTAGAAGTGTTTAGAAATTAAGCCAAATAAGTAGTGTGAAGTAGTGTAGTTAAAAGGTGTTCTTTCTGTTTTAAATAATTTAGAAGAAAATACGTTTGCTCTTTCAACAAACATGCTGTACAATTAACCAAAGGTCTACAATATTTGATATCTGAAATTGTTAGTTTAACTAACATTGTTATCCATAGCAGACAACAATCTCATTTTTAAGGTTGTAATGAAGTCACAGGACATGAACTGTAAGGCCTTCATTGACTTCTCGGCATGTACCAAACACTAAGCGACCTGAACAAGACTCACACACAACACAGGAGAATGCACACATTGTACCTAGTTTATGTGGACTAACCTTTTACCAATTTGACTAAACCTACTGTGCCACATAGCAATAATTCGGTTTAAACACAGCAATGCAGCTTTGTTAAACATATCCCTATTGAACAATATGGTTTTCTGTTCCTTACTACCACAATTTTCCAGCTTCTTTATTTGGGAGAATATATTCTGCTATACTTGACAAATACTGTGAAAAGTCACAAAGCGTGAACCCAGACAATGCGGTTTAAAACAACAAAAAGATATTACATGTCAGAAAATGAAAAAAGAATAATTAAATGAACAATACATTTCAACATACAATAAATACATGCAACAAACCGAAATAATATATTTGTGCTTGTACAAAATATTAAAAATTACTATTCTAAAGATCAACTGACAACTGTTTTGAGATGAGGCATAGCTGCATTTACTTTGTATAGAACTACAGTGTATCAGTACATTGACATCCAGTTGTAAATAAACCAATGGCTTTTTGGAACCCTCAGAGAAACATCAGTAACATCACACATTTACTTAGTTTTTCTGGGGCTAGCTCCTCACAAGTTGCAATGCATGTCCTGGATTAGAGCAGCACTGAATGATTAATACCTATGTGTAATGTGTCACCAGGTTAACTAGCACACTTCGGGTACAATTCCTTCAAGTAACCTCGACCAATGTTGTATGGTGATAGGATGATGTCATTGAAGCTCTCTCTCTTAAGTTGCTGACTATTTTTGTCTAGCTTAAGCTAATGTATTCTGTATGCACACGAATAAGTGGCTTATTTTCATTACTCAAAGGCTTAGCTTGTCAACACACGATTGGCTTGTGCTGTGGTTCATCGCATGTCATTTAAGGAGAGTTTCATAGTTTTGACCTTGGTATTTTCTCGGTTTTGTTAAATGATATTATTTTTTCGTGCAAATAAAACCGAGGCAACATTCCTCAATAGAGCTGGTTTGTGATCCCTAGCTTTAGCACTCGGAGTTACTTGACATTATATACAGTATATATGTATATATATATATTTGTTTGTGTGGTGCAGTTGAAAATGTATCTTCGTCACATTCGATTTTGGGGTAAAATTTAAATGAGAGGTGCAAGACGTTTGTACGTCAGCGCAATGTGAAAAATTTACACAGATACCAAAAGACCATCGATGCTCAGCAGAAGCTACCTTATTTTCAGACGGGTAAACGTTCAAATTAAACATGTAAAAAATGTAATGAACAAAGAGTGTGTTACCTCTCGCTGACCAGCACCACGTCTGCATCGTTCCACTTTTCAAATACGGCCGGTAAAATCCTCCTGAAGGCGACAAACAGACCGGGGAAAACTACGGCGCCACAAGCTAAAACTTGCCACATTCTGTCGATTAAAATGTCTTTCCTCTAAATCTACTCGGAGACGTGGGTTGCTCCTTTTCCCTTAAACGTTTACACACAACGGTTGAGCATTTTCATCTAGGCTTTGGTGTATTTGACCAGAGAACAGAACAAATACCGTCCACTCGTTCACATACAACACACTCGGTTCTAGCAACTGCATCAGCGATAACAAGTTAATGCTAATGTAAGGTACATCCGGTGGGAACTATCACGATAAAAGTCCGATGGGGAACCACTTTCGTTGAGGTTCTGACTAGATTTAGCGGAAGTTGTTTCGCACATAGCAGTTAGCATTGAGCATAAAGGCAATTCCTACATCAGTTGCAATTATAAATATCAACAAGGCCTAAAAAGAACATTAATACAGAGAAACTCAAACAAACCAACGAACAACCATTTCTAAGTCTTACTAACTATCCCTAAATCTAAGACAAAAACCACTCAAATTTAGAAATTAAAACAACTGACCCCAAAGAACCCAGAATAGTGATGTATCATAATGAGATAATTTAATCTAAATTTAGGAACAGTTGCTCATTCACAAAACCAAGATACACAGGGTTATAATTTATTTATTTATTGTTAATAATTAAGACATACATCTCAGAAATGTGATATGTTATTGCTTGTCCTCAACATGCTGTAAAAAAAGTTATTTTGCAGAGGTCTGCAGCAAAGTGCATTCACTCTGTTGGATTGATAGCACAACTTGCTATCCCACCCTGCTACCTCACCTGACATGCAAAACAAAGCGTTTACTTAAGATCTGTGAAACTACCAATCAATAATACTCTTTTTACAAAACTTTTTTTTCTACTTCAGTCACCCGATTATATTAAAATCAAGGTTTATTTAACATCAGGGTGGATCTTGATTCTATCCAGCTATCAGACACTACCCAACAAGACTGTGTGAGTGAAGTCAGGTCACGTGACAGCTGATGGTGAAAATCTCTGAAATATAGCTTATCTTAAGGAAAATACATTAGAAAAATAGAACACCACACAAATCAAGATATGGAGCACATCACTGGTTGTTAGCATTGGAATATTTAAGGGTTAAATTACTCAATTTCTTTTATTTACTTACCCCACATAATCTACAAGTACTTACTCATTTTGCTCATCATGTGATTGGTAATCCCCTCACATTATCAAGGTAGAACTGAGGTGTTCTCTGTTAAAGTGATTGCCACTCAATTTTCTAACACTGCTCCCTGGGCGCTTCAGCTGACCCCCACCCCCCACTTTGGTGATGGGTTAAAAGCAGTGGTGTGCTGTGTCACAATGGCAAGTAGTTTACTTTCACTTCAATGCTCGTTTCTGTTCTGATGAGGCCTCACAGCCCACTGACAAAACGTAGTCAGTTTCATTCGCTCAAGCAAGCATGAGCAGTACTTAGATGTTGCCTTAAAACAACAAAAGCTAATTAGGAACCCATGTGAACTTCATAGTCATGTGACATAAAGAGAAAAAGGCTGAGACAGTGACATTTTGACATTGACATGGCGTGGCTGGGGGTGCCTGCCAGGTAGGTCTTAGTTTTCAACAATATGCTGATCTATCAGGAAGTTAATGCACATCCATCTCTCGGTTTCACTGACAATCTTAGGAAAAATGGAAAATATTCAGTGGCAGTTCTCTGCTGGGCCAAAATGACCAGACAGATGGGGAGTAGACCACCTACAGTTTTTACCCTTATACAATGCTAGAGAGGCAATACTTTTAAGTGCAAAGGACATTCCTAGGATGCACATGAATACCCAATGGAAAGATGGGAATAATTACTTGTTCTGGCGACGTTGGTCCTGATATATGGAGTCAACATGACCAAAAAATGGCAGCAGGGCTAAATATATACACGTAGTTACATATACATTTTAAAATATCTAAATACTATATACTTGTACCATACTACAAACAACATATATTTATTAGTACCATTAATAATAGTATCAATAAATATAATTATATTTTTAATACATTAAGTTCTATTGTTTATTTGTTACTGCCAACTGTGTTTAATGTCATCTGTCATGGGTCACATGTCCTTTTATCATCACTAAGCTTTGTCACATCATTTCTTGATCAAGTTGAGTAACTTCTAACCATGTATTTACCAAGTGTGTGTATATATGGAATTTAACATACATTTACAGATGTAATTTCATTTCAACTGACAAAGAGCAATGAATAAAACATAATTTTTATTTTTTTAAATATACATTACACTTTAAACTTCCCCAGCCTATGTTTTGGCTGGATAAATAAAGGTTGAAAAATGCAAGCTGACATAGATTATATTTTCACCTCATTACCCGTTCATATCTTCACAGCAGCAGTGACACATTTTGTTTTAACAGTGTTTTTTACCCATAAATTATAAATACAAATATAAAAGCTGTCTAAAAAGTTTCAAGTTTCTGTGATGGTCTAATTTTCAGAGAAGGATCAGGGACATTTTTTTTCAACTCAAAATTCAAAACATAGGGAATGTATAACTTTTCAAATTTGGGGGATTCAGGGAATTGTAAAAGAAATCTATTTTTTTTGATTATCTGAGAACTGTGGGGATATTGTAACAACAAAAAAACCCCACAAAAATCTCAATACTCCGTTATTCCACACGAAAGTATCCCACCACCTCAAGTGCGTATTGACAGTAGTATTCGTGGTTTATGTCTCTTTTCTCTGTCAGTTTATACCCAAAAAGTCCAGTAATGACCTCAGTGCAAAAGTGCCTTGACATTCACCTTATGTTTAAAGGTTTGATTTGCTCCACAGCAACATCTCTTTGTCCTCAAGCAGAGCTACGTATATTCACAGTTGTCTCTCTCTCTGTCCACCAGGGGGCATCCAAACCCCACATTTTGAAGTCCACTGTGAAGTCCACTATGGTGAGTCTTTTTTTTTTTTACTCCGTTATCACCTATAGGCGACATGTCTGGTATTTGTTGTGGGGGCCTGAGGCCAGTTCGTAGAAGAGAACATAGGCATTGCTGCTGCGCACCTGACTCGAGGACATGGGGCTAACTCTGTGAACAAAACACAAACACAGTTAGTAAAATCCCAATTGATGCAAGTCGAGTCAAAAATATGGCTAAAAGGAACCACATAAGCTCAAATAACTCACTAGACTTTTAACCAAATTAAATTAAAAGTCACATAGTTTACGTTTAAAGTCAAGTTTAGAACAACTTGGAAAAATCTGAATAAGAAAAAAAAGGCTGCAAATCAAAAAAAGACCAAATTGTCAGTTAAACACTAATTAAAATTAGTATTGGTCAAAAAGTTGCCAAAAGCAAGTTGCTTAACGTCCGGCTGACCCTGGATGATATGACGAGCCATGATTTGATACCTGCAGTCGTTGTAGTTGTACCACTCCCCCAATGCTGCATTCTTGCAGTAGGCCGTGTAGTGACCGCCCAGGGCGTTCCCACTGTGGTTGGACACTGCATACAGGTTGTACATGACTTGCTCTGTACAAGAACCAAAAAAACCTCTTTGAGCCAATGCCACAAAATGACAGAGGGTGTTTGCCAAGTCAAGCTAACATTCTTTAGCATCAACATCATTGGGTACTTACCACTGCTTCCAGATGAGAACACCTGCATGTCCAGATCTTTGAGTGGGAAGTTGACGTAAGTGGAGAGTTTGTTGGTTCGATTGTTGGAGTCTGAGAAACGCTTGAGGTCTGGGGAACGTTCAGTAAAGGAACAAAAGAATAATGCTTCTTGATCGTACATTTGCCTTTTTACATTCAAAATAATATATAACGAATAATATGTTTGTCTTTATCACCCTAACCTTCTGTATATTCTTTCTTGCTTTGTCATATTGTAAAGCCGATAAAAACAAGTCAAGTGTTTAAAAAACATGGTCTGGAGATAAGGATACGAAGCACAAGAATCTGAGGAAACTTCTGGATGCTGAATCTTTTCGTGCATTTCCTTCTGGTTTTACATCTGTCACACGTCTGAAAGAGAGAGATGGTAAAATTCTGCTCATGTTCATATGCCAATTGCTAAGATAAACATGGAGGAGGTGTTTCTTACCGGCCTTTCATCTCCATCTAGAACATCTTCCTTGGTAAAGAGCCTCAAACAGTCTTTGAGGGACACTTCGCCCAAGCTCTTCTGTGGAGGAGTTTGTTTAGTCAGTAAATAAACACAGTAAATAAACTTGAAGCTATAGTTGAAGCCGTTGTTACAGCAATTGGTGAAAGTATGTTCTTAAAAAGTCGAAGGGAAAGTTAGAATTTTTGGATTTTTTAAGGAAGGCCCAGGGAAATAGAAAAATATTTCCTCCATATTTGACTTTTATATCAAAAACTGAAAACACATTTTGCAACAAAGGCTTGCAACCATATACTGTAGTTACATACATTAAATTTTATAGGCATTTTTAGCGTAAAACTTAAAATAATACATTTTGGTGACTAACCTTTGCAATAGGTATTGATAAATCCCAGAATGGCTCAAACACAGTGGACTGGAAACCACAGACAGTGCAGGTCAGAGAACTTTTCAGCTGTCCAACAAATAACTCTGAAACAAAAATGGTCAAAGGCATTTAATGTTAACATGAATTCTGGCCGAGGTAAAACATAATCATACAATCATTATAACCATCAAAGGGTTATCACCTCTGACTGGGTCAGAACTGTTACTCAACCTAAATCGATATTTGGGGACGTGACACTGGGCACAAACCAAATCTAAACTTTTGATGGTAAACTTGGACACAGGCTTGACATACCTACTACTTTACTGTCCTCTCTCTCCAAGTACTTTTTCCACATCCACTTTCCTTTCTCATCATCTCTGTGAAGAGAAGTCAATTTTTTAGATGGCAGAAAATCTGACAAACAGTCAATACAAGAACATGAATACACACAGAGGAGCTGACTTACGAGAGATGATCCAAGTTATCAGGCGAAACCTTGTGTCTGACGATACCTCTGTTCACTTCAGTGTGGAGACCATCCAGTAACATGCGCAGAAATTCCTGTGCATCCTGCTGACTGAAGAGAAAGAACTGTTACTGCTGGTTCTTTAGGCTGATAGCTACAATAAAAGTGAGATTTCTAATGTGTTGTTGTCCTGCTAATGGTGTCTCGATTACTACTAATATATTAATATGATTACATATACATATATATTATTAATATATGTGACTCTGTCACTCTGACTCTGTGACTCTGACACATACCCTGAACTTTGCATCTTAGAGTGTTGAGGAACTATTTACTTGCAGCCCACAAATTTGGGAGCGTATTTCTGGATCTGGTTCCTGAAATCTGAGGGACTGATGGCCTCGTTGTTCACAGACGTCCACAGGTTTTGAGTCAGTTTTGCAAATTCTGAAATGGTAGAAAATGAAAAAAAAAACAACAACAATGTAATAAATGACTTCATAAGACAGAATTAGAAACTGATACAAAATATCTATGATAATAAAGAATCTCCAGGCCAACGGTTTCAGTGTGAAACCTTAATTGTCCTTAGATACTAAATATCTATGATAATAAAGAATCACAGTTTCAGTGTGAAACCTTAATTGTCCTTTATCAAAGGGTGTAAAGAAATTATGTCCTTGGAGTTCTTGAGCCATATAAAACATGATTAAATATGTGACCTACTTTTGTGGCGATAAAGTGACTATGGTCCCTCTTGTAGTAGGAGTAAAATAAATAGAAAAAAAAAAGCTTCAGAAGCCTGGTCCTACCTTCCATGAGAGCCGTCTTCTTCTTGCGGTTTTTGTTGAGGTCTGTGCGATGGATGTTCCTAAGGCAGTAATCCCTCAGCTCCGGAGTGTTGCTCAGACACTGTAGAATGGAGTTCATGAAGCACTGCAAAAAAAAAAATCCACAATGATTTTAGAGACTGATTATCCAGACCAAACTGGTGACATCACTAGGTCATCAAGGGAAGTCCCATATCTTACCGTGTTGCCAAGGTTCCTCAACCCCACCAGGCCTAGTTGACTCTTGTTCTGTTTAGGGACAAAGAAGACATTTGATTGGAGCCCTGATGAATGGTGTATTCAGGAAGAAAACGGAGACAAATTCATTTTGACAATTTGGGGTAAATTTCTTTGAGGTTTTTGGCAGAAAAGAAATTTCAAACCAAAATTAACACATTATTAACACATTTAGATCTCAGAGTGTTAGAGCTCAAATCTCAGTCTCACTGTAGGATTTGTCTTAACCAGTTAAGGTGCGTCCCTGTGGGGAATATTTATTCTGCCTCTTAACTCAACGTCTAGTGTTGCTAAAATATCTGTTCAGTTAGTAGCTGACTATTACATTAATTACAAATTAATTTTTATTAGAACCTACTCGATAATAGTTATGATAATTATATCAGGGACAATTATGAAGATTATTTGTGACATGATAATCACTTTATCTGTTTTGTCAACATTAAATAAGGTTCTTCACTTTTACTTAATTGAAAGCAATTTTTTTCTTCGGTCCTTCCAAACAGGAAACAGAAGATCTTGAATTTGTTTGTTACAAGCAATATGTGGACATTGTTCTGAGATTCTGTGGTAAAAATGGAGCAAAGAGCTAATGTAGACCAGGTTACTATATTTTCTTCATGTAGATTTTGACAGTTTTTCCCTAGCTGTTAAACAGGCACCCTACACTGGCTGTGGCCTACAGGTCGTACCAAAGAGCAGATCGTGGGTAACTAAGTAACCTGATGACTCAGGGCCAGTCAGCAATGTCATGCATCAACACCTCTGCTGACGACTGAAGAGCCGCAGGTGGAAGTGAATGTGTCTGGTTGCCAACGCACAAACACAGATACACACACGCACTGTAAATGTACAGACAACGTCAGCAGCCTGTATGTGAACTTTGCCTGTTACTGTTGTGGTATAGTTGGTGGTTGTGAGGGAAGTAAAGCTGAGAGCTCATTGAGCATAATTAATTATAAAGAGAAGAGTAAATCTCGCCATAGGTCGACAACAGGTCAAGCTGAACTTTCATAATGCTGAGTTTAGGCTGGACAACTGTTTATTATAAACTGGGTTAAAAAGTTCTTCTGAGAAAAAGTGTTGTCTGTGTGTGCAGTGCAAACACCAGCGCGCTCATCCAACAGAGGGCACTGAGGACAATCTGTGGACACCAATAATATCACACAGACACACATCTGTCTGTACTGTGGACCCTCTCTTATCGCGGTATTTGCGTTACATGACCCACCGCGAAAAGTAGAGGGGAGATTCATGACCCACTGCGAAAAGTAGAGGCGAGATAGTTATTATATTATTCACCCTTCTCCACACAATTACAGTATATGCACAGTAGAGCTGTATAATGGAAATATAAGACATACATATTACGTAAATAAATTACGTAAGCGCCGGAGAGCACATTATTGTAAAGAAAAATAAAGACTGTTAACTGTCATCTGTGTCAGCGTCTTTGTTTGGGCTTAGTAACAGAGGCCTGAGAAGATGATCAGGGCGTTTGTGATCGTAGAGCGTTAAATTAGGCTAAACTTTCACCAAACACAAGAGCACAAACTTTACAGCAACGTACTATGTCGGAGCAGAGCAAAGTGAACGAGTAGCTGACAGACAAGCCAAGCCGAGATGCTGAGAGATGCTACGTTGCATGAGCCAATCAGCGTGAAGAACAAGAGCGCATCCTCAATGCTGTGTTCGATCTCTAGATAAACAAAGCTACAAGCGATGGCTTTTAGTTGTTTTTTGCTTTATGTTTTACTGCTTAATTTCTTTTTTGGTTAGAAAATGTTTTTTAGAACAAAAATAAAGAAAATATTGGATATTAAAAAAAAGATTTGCCATGAAATACAGCGATACTCTCGCGAGATGGGAATTAAAAACAAAATCGATGTAGGTAGGAGAACCGCGAAGTAGCGATGGATTACTGTATACATGTGTGCTGTGTTTAAATGCACTCCACAGCTGATACGGTTGAAGACACACATGTCTTATCAGCAGCGTTAAGGTCTGTTATGAAACACACCCGTAGATGGAAGACATAAAGCACAAAGATCAACTGCGAACATTCTTCTTTTACATGTCAAAATCTTTCTGCAGATTTTCACACATTAGACATAGTCTGGGATTTTTACTTGATGGGAGAGGAATGTTTGAATGCATTTACTTGACAATATAACATTTTTGACAACATTTTGGGCACAAATTTCAAATATAAAAAAATGGATACCACAAGATGAGTAAGAAAATTATAGGTTGGTACCAAATCCAAAATTTGCCATACAGTACCAAAAGGTTAAAAAACAACACAGAAATAGCTCAAATTAGAGTCGATAACAGCGATTGTGTAGCTAAAAGCTGATATTAGCCAAGCAAATAGATAATGGTAGACTGAAAGGAAAGCCAAGAGGAAGCTGTGACATCAACGCTAAAAGATGACCAAAAAAAAAAACTACATACAAAAGCTTTTGCACAGCAAGCTTGGAGGAAGAGTCTCTACTTAAAAGCAAACAAAATTACAGTACAGAAGGTATAGTATAGCAGCATAAAATAAGCAGAAGAAAAAAGTTACTCTAAAAATGAAAGTGACGGACTCACCTTGGCCTGGTTGATGATCAGACCCATGAAGGTGGACACCAGTATGGAGCGGGACAAGGTTGGGGTCTTGTGTTTGTCCAGTGGGAAGGAGGCCGGGCTCTCCTCCTGTGCTGTCACCGTGTATGAGTGTTTCAGAGACGGCATGGTGCAGAATAATTCCTCCCTTTCGACCTCAGAAAAAAGGTACAACAAAAGGTACAACTCAGCCGACTTCAGTCCCTGAGTAACTGACAGAGTAGAGTGTGAGAGTTTTGATCTGTCAAATGTTCACGCCCACTGTGAGAACCTGCCCTGAACGGTGCTGCCTTCAAGCCCTATGGGAAACACAATACTCCGATTATTCTGCTGACCGAAGCTGTCAAACAGGTGTGAAAAAAAGTAATTAAGTACAAGTTATTAAAACTTCCCTCGGTAAAAACTTATTTATTATTTACTAGGAGCTTTTGAAAGTCCCTTTAATTATTTCTGTCTATTTATTTTATGTCTATTCACAGGAAAGCAAACGGGAAAAACGGAATGAATAAAAGTTGGATCACACTTTCGAACAAGCGTAGGGAGACGTTATGACATTTTGTAGGATTATGAGTGTTGTAACAATTGCGCCAATTGTGCGGGAATCCATATTTTATAGATTATTTTAAAAATCTATAAAATATCCCCTAATTATCATAGGGACCTGAAAATGGGTAAAATAGTTCATATAGGATTTAGACTCAGAATCACATCTTCAGACTCAGATTTCTTCCACTTTTTTCATATTAACAACAAGAATCTAACTTATAATTATTTCAAATAAAGCAAGTACAAAAAGTACTTGATGGGGGTGCTGGCCGTCTATAAAGACCGGGTTGAAGAGTGTGGTTTGCATTCAGCAGCGTAGCAGGGGAGTCAGCAGAGGGAAGCGTTTTAACTGAAAGACCATATAAACATAATCACTGCAGGGTCTGTAACTGTCATTTTCTTATCTCTGCAGATAAGACCGCCAGTGATCTTCCATTTTCTGTTGCATCCTGACATAAAATCCAGCATACAGCAAGAATGGGGTTAATTAGGAGTAGCAAATAAAACTGCTAATCAGTGTTTTTAAAAAAAAAAATCTTCTCTGAAAACGTCAGCACTTAGATGAGACACCTGCTGATCTTTGGCTGAAACTGTCTCTGTGCCTGATAACATGCATGTTGGCAGCAGCGTTGTTAAAACTCATTGATTTATATCCACACTCATCTTCATGGGTGTGACTCTTGGACAAAGTCTAATGTAACACTACACAGTTGCAATAAAGCTTTTTTTTTTTGGTTATTCCTCCCCTAACCATCATGCTACTTTGTCCATGGTTTTCTTTTTTTTTCATTAGTTTTAAGACTAACTTTTTTCTGGCTAAATGCTACCTCAATATTTGACACATCTTCAATTGAGTTCTTCTTTTTTAGGAACTCCAACTGTGAGTATAGACTGCAAATGTCATGGTAGCGAGCTTGGTAACCATGTTTATACTACTACGCCATGGAAATGTGGTGAATCATATGGAGTGCGTCAGTTGAGGGAACACCTGGGAAACTGAGTCCCTTTAATTTCAGTGCACGGCTCCCACATTCAGCCTACAGGAATGCGGCTCATGACTCTGTCACATTCCTGCCGCAGATTAATCTCACGGCAGGTTCAAAGGTTGGACTCTTTAATGAGATCAAATTCCAGGCGTGTTATGTCAGAGAGGCTTTCTCTCCGAGAGTGACAAGTTAATCTGTAAATTATTAGTGTTTTCCTTCAAACTCTTGGCACCTTCACTTCACAGTGCCACAGAAATAACAATTAACCTTGACATTGGGCTTTATAATCACGGTACAGCAATTAATCTGTTTTCATGAAAAAGCAAGATTAATGGACTAGTGCAAACTGGACAACCCACTACACACATAGTACTGCACAAGAGAGAGAAACAGAAGCTAATTCTCATCAATAAACTGCAGAAGGAGAAGATGAAGGAAAAAAACACTCTACACTTTAAATAAGAAGTAAATAAGGGAAATATAATAAATGTCAAAACCCACAAAAACTTTTTGCACATTGCTGTTTGTACACTTACATAACAGTTGTCATTGTTTTGTTAGCGCAGTGGAGCTTCAAGATACAAGCTGAATCAGTTCCACAACAGCACTCATATGTCGATCCGATCGTATCTCGATTGCATTTTCCCCATTGAAAATAACTAAAAACCAAATAATTCCCCCAGAAATATACTATTAATTAATTAAATTATCCTTCTTCCTATCTCAACATAAAAACATAGATATAAACTAATATATTGATAATATAAAATAATAATAATTAAGAAAACATTTTAAATTATTGTTATGACAAGGGGAAAAATAACCTAGCGAGGGTCAGTGAGGTACAGCGTGACGGGGTGGAGTGGAATAAAGGAGCTGGGTTGAACATTCGTAACTCGATGTTTCCTCGTATCTTGAAGTCCCACTGCACTTAATTAGTGGCAGACAGAGCACAGAGTGTTCTTTTTTTAATTATCACCTGCTCCTGTTTGTGTGCAGAAACAAACGTAGTATTTGCGTGGCTGCGGAGAGGATAACGGCGAGGTAGCACTTTAGCTAAATTTACGACCATCACTCCCTTCTCCTTTCATGGCAAACAAAGACCAACCCTTCATTAACACAATCTCCACGGCTCCACCCACAGGCGAGGCCTTGCTGCTGCTACAGTACACTCCTACACCTGTTCGTCACTGATGTTCCTTTTTCTACAGGCTCCCTGCTAACACCTTAATTTTACCGAGTCAGTCACTCGGCGGCTGTTGTTAAGGCGACGTGAGTCATCTTCCATCAAATACCTACAGTGTGACTATCACAGCGATGATTCAATATGAACAAAAATACATATACATCATTAGTTAAAAAAGAAAAGAAAAGGTGTGAGCAGTATGAAGTAACTAATCTCATTCATATCCAACATTAAGATATTGGAAGTTATATATTTATACAGAGGTGAGTAAAACATGACTAGGGGAAAGTTAATCCTGCTTGTTTTAAAGATTTAACGTTGTGTGACGTCAGCAGCAGGGTTGTGTTACTGCACTGTGTTTGAAGGAACCTTTCTCATCAAATTCTGCTTTGTGACAGTAAAGCTGCAGTAGACAATAAAAAAAATACACCAATACGTTTCTCATTAGGCTACTGAATACTAAAGTCACCGTTAGAGGGTCACAGAAAATGTAGCCCTTGGTGGTCTCGAACCACAGGACAGAATAGAACCATAGAACACCATCCCCACATTTACACATGTAAGTGAATGAATCTTGGAAAAGTCCCAAAGTCCAAGAAGAGGGATCAGGTTAATTGTTCACACATTAGTATTAGTGTCTGTGAATGGCTTTTTGTAAAACTGTCTAGGGTCTATTCAACCCCCACGCCATAAATGCTGGGATTAGCTTTTTACCTCCTCTCATGACCCTGAAAAAGTTTACGCACATCGCTCAAACACACCACACTCACATTAGCTGATATTAACAAACACACCACACCACACTCACATTAGCTGATATTAAAACCACCAATCTCAGCTGTTATCAATTAGGAGTACTCTGTGAGGCGTCACTGGGTCAAGGTCTGTCGACATGTAAGTGATAAAGTTAAAGAACTGCACACAATGTTAAAACCAGACAAGAAAGAAAAAAAACAGAGATATCTTAAACCAGTGGTCTCAAACTCACGGCTAGAGGGCCACTTTGGGCTTCCAAACACCCCATATCTGGCCCGTGACTAAATGATAATAATGATTGCACAATTTTCTTCTACTACTTCAGATGTTTGTCACTTTTGATACTCTTGGTCACCTTTGCTACTTTGTATACTTTTTCAGCATTTGCTACTTTGGTTGCTTCAGAAATTAGAAATACTTCTGTAACTTTACAAACTGTGAGGTGTTTTGGCCCAGAGGCAATGTCTCTGTCATTGGTGTGTAACCCCAGGGTTCACCTCGTGGGCAAGATCGAATCAGTTAGGCTGGTTGGTACCTTCCAGTGGACTCACCACCCACAGGAAGGTTTGGGGGGTTTGGTACAGTGCACGGTGATTTGGGTGGCAGCTGCTGCCCCTGCGACCCAGTAACAGATGAGTGGACGAAAATGGATGGATGGATTGATGGAACTTTGCAAACTCACTAAGACTAAGTTACAACTTAGTCTTAACAAACTCAGCAAACTAAGACTAAGTTACAACTTAGTCTTAGTTGTAACATTCACATCATTTTCTTTTTAATTTTAGACTTACTCCAGTTTAAGCAAACCTGTCTGTACACAGTGTGAAGGCAGAAGTCTATCAATGCCACAACAAAAGGAATAATAATTGTTTATTACATGAAACTATGTAATGACATATATGTAATGAAGAGGAAGGGACGACACGCCTCCTGTTACACTGTGGAAAGTATTAATATAATTACTTTTTAATGTTCACTTGTCCAGACATAACACAGGGTGTGGGCACCAATCAGTTCTAGGAACTATGTTTATCTGAGAGAATGCAGCAGGGTCAGAAAGAGGCCAAAAGAATGTGGGCAAAGTCTGAAAGTGCCCAACTGGTGTTCTCTCTGTAGCTACTCCAACGTTTACTAGAAGTGCTATAAAAGTGGAAACATACAAAAAAATCGGCCATAAATTACGACGCAACGACAAATGACAAACTATTACACAGATTCAATCCTTAAGCTTCATGTCATAGAAGAATGTTGCAGGTACAAACAATATCAAAGAGACGCCGCATAATTCTTGTTGCTGATAAAACATGTTTTCAGTGAAAACATTCCTGATTCTTTCAGTGACACTGTGGGTGTAGCTGCATCAGATTAACGAACGTTTACTCACACGCTCCCTTTGAGAGGAACATCCGTTTTTATTGATGGTTCTTTCATTGGCGATTCTGCTTTCACAGGTTACACAACAGCACACACGCACGCGCACACACACACAAAATAATCACACTGATGATTAACAACAATCAAGACATAGACCACTGAACTGATAAAGACTGTACATTTGTACAAAGAAAAGGGGACAAAAGAAGGTCTAATAGGTGAAAAATGTCGCCAGTAGAGATTTTAATTTACAAAACGTTTTGAGTGAACATTCACTTGTGTTTGGAATTGAATGTTAAGCTGTGGGAATTTGTGGGGCTCGTATGACACTCAAGTCCATGAACAGAATGTGTATCTCTCGCAGTGGCACACATGAGCTGTACAACAACTTTGTCTTCACTTAATAAGTGCACACATTATCTTGTCACACGTTCGGTGTTTGAAATCCTTTGTTTGGACTTAAAATTAACAGAATGACACATTGTTTGAGCCGCAGTTGCTGCATGATGTCAGCTCTCTGATGTCAGTTTCTATAAGGGTTCTCCTGAAGTACTAAAAAAAAAAAAAATCAAAAATGCACTCATCAGACTCAGTTTTTTCTCAAATGTTGTGGTTGAACAATAAATATATGTTAGATCCATGTCGCAGAAGAACAGACAGAAATGAGTGGGGAGAGTGTCGCAAAGAAAATACATTTAAATGTACATACATTTAATTATCAACAAAGTTTCTATTCATAGAGTTGACTCATGTTCAGAAACATGACGTAAGGTCTTCAAACATGTAAGTAATGCAGGAGCAAGGTTGAAGAATGAGCGGGAAAAAAACATGGCCATCCTGCTTGGTGTCTAGAAAGCTGACTACACTGACTGGCTGCTGAGGCGGTGATCTGTCAACCTACTGCATAGATGATCTACTCGACATAAACAACCACTGTGTGTGTCTCTGCGTTTGTGTTTTCAAGTCTTTTTGTGTGTGTGATTGGGTTTTATCTACGTATTTGTCAGTTTCTCACTCAGTGTTAAGAGAACAGAGGAACATGGGTACGAGCCAGGAGCAGGGAGACGGCGGCGCTGACCACCAGCAGAGGAACCACTTGTGTAATGTCAGAGCTCGAATTTACGGCTGAAAAAAAAAGTCAAATCAATCACTAAAAATATAGTCTTGTGGTCGGCTGTTAGCCTACAGAATTAATATAATATAAATATTTAAAAAAGATTTTTTGTTTCTCACTTCGACAGCTCTTCCCATCCCTTTGCAGCATCCCAGTCACACAGCTGCAGACTGATCCAGAACCTTTACTAGTGCAGATCTGCTCACAGCCTCCGTTGTTGTCTTCACACCAATCGGATTCTGTAGAGGAGTCGGGGAAAGTTTTAGAAAAGTTAAAGGATTAATGGTAAAAGATTAGAGATGTCCTGGAAAAAGGCTTAGAGACAATGCCGAATAACTTCGGTGCTGCATGAGGTTATAATTTACACAAACAAAATTAGAAACAATTAAATCATTGAATAAGGAAAGTATTACCTGACAAGATCTGAGTTTAATTATAGGCATTGATCTGCCTGATGACTTAAGTTGCACTTGGCACAAACATAAGCATGATTAGTTTACATTGCCTGTGTGCTGGAGGTCGTTCAAACTGTGAACGCCTTCAAATTACAAGTGCAATCACACAAAGAAACGCTTACCTCTGCGTCTTATTGGCCCCACCGACAGTATGTGCTCCTTATGATCGCCTTCTTCTGAGTACATTCTTCTCTTGTGAGGACAATTCTGAATGTACAGAATGTAGAGAACACATTCATTAAAGGCCAACTCTGTAGCTACTTTAACTTGTGCTAAATTTGAATGACACTTCCATTAGCAAAAACGCTAACACTCATTAAACCCCAATGGTACAAAGTACAGCGTAGTCTTGTCATTTTTTGACTCCAGTGTCTGTATTTCCTTCAGCTTTCATACCACTTTGCAGGCGTTTGTGTCCGAGTCGCACAGGGAAACATCGCAGTGCAGGTGAACCTCGTCGTAATCCCCGATGAACTTGAAGACAGTGACGTGAAAGCGACAAGTGAGGGACACTCCATTCTCTGCCATGCCAATGGTGTTGTCCTTGATGTTTGGACACCTGGTGGAAGAAGTCCACTGACAACAGTTAATGAACTTTATTTGGAATTTAATCTTCTACTGTGCGTGCAGTGAACCGTGTTGAAGCTGTCTCACCCTCTCTCTATTATAATGTAGCGGAGCCGGTCACTGCTGTAGCGGGACGGCGTGGCCCAGCACATGTTGACTATGAGGATAAGTTGATTCTCATCCGCCCCTTCCACAAAGACGCCAACAAAGAGGATGTCCCGCGTGCTGAGCACCACCTCGCCCTCCCTGTACGGATGCCGGTATGAAGCGTTCTTGTACAGAGCCATCTTAGTGATGAAGTTTCCTTCCTGGGTCGGCAAGGTCAGGTTTATCACACTGCAGACAATAGAGAGATAGACAGGGAAGACGTTCAGTTGGAAGTCAAAATGTTTTTTGTTTTCCCAGCTTCTCCTCTGGTTCTGACCTGAGCATGGGCCTGAGGACAGTGTCCAGGGAGATCTTTAGGTCCAACTCATAGGCGCAGGAAAACTCCACATTTATGGTTTTGTCTCTTGTGATGACGTTGCCAGTGTTGTTCACACTCTCGATCCACACAGTGTTTTTGTACATAATGTGGGTTCCATTTGACTGTGATTGGGATAAACACAAACAGAATGCTGACCATTACCAAACAAGACACAATGATACTTTTTCCAGCTGCCCTGGGTTTGACACCTACTATTATAGAGTTTCATACAATTTAATTTAAACACATTGATTTACTGTATTATGGAATTGTCTTTTTGTCTGCATTTTTTCATTAGAAGCTGGAATTGTCTTTTTGTCTGCATTTTTTGTAAAATAACACAAAGAAAAAAATACCTCCTTTAACTGTTGAACCCAAAAGCTAAAGTGAGTTCTTTAAAAAAATACCTCCTTTTACTGTTGAACCCAAAAGCTAAAGTGAGTGAAATGGTTAACATAACATATAGTTTTAGTATATAGTATAGTAAACTCTCTAAAAAGATTTATAAACACAATTTAAATTAATTGACTCATTTTTTTAATTTAAATTAATTTAAAGTCTCCATTTCAGAACCTTCATTTCTTATTATACTAAAAATCTAATCATAGAACACAATCAGCATGGAATTTTAGATCTATGCTGCGCGGCAGACAAAAAGGTGTCTTTTTGTGTCTTATTGAAGCCCACAGTAAACACCTGCGAGTTCAGTAGGTGCATTATCTGGTTTTGTTTTAGAGACCTGTACAATGGAGCCACAGTGTCCCTTGGTGTTGTTGATGTGGAAGGAGATAAAGTCCTCGCCCTCAATGCCGGCACAGTGCTCGTCGTTAATTCTCACGTCTTCGCGCTCGAAGCCCAGCTGGAAAAGCTTGCACTTGGAGATGGAAACCTCCATCTGGGCGTGTTTGCATGTCACCTCGGCTTGAATGATGTCATCGTCACCTGCATGTGGTGAACCCAAGAGTCACTGCTGGTTGTACTGCAGGGTCAGATCAACACTACATAGTATATAGTAAGGCTAGAATTCCATACCGCCAGTAGTGGTTGGTAATTCTGGACAGCCACACAGGTCCCCTCCATTCTCCAGCTCACAAGTGAAGTTTGTGCAAATCTCTCCTGCACAGGGGTCATAGATCCATTCTGCTAAAGAAAGGGTCCACACACAATGTAAGCTGTGTAGTAACTGTCACTTGTAAATAAAACACCAACTCATCTTCCTATTTTATCAAAGTGTACTTTATGTGCACATCTTGTGTCTCATGGTGCTCTTACAGCAGTTTTCTTGGGCAATCCACTTGGTGCTAAGGGTTCCCAGTGAGCGGCAGGCCTCAGCATAGGCTGCCAACGAGCCGCAGACCTGAGCTTTGTGGTGATTGTAACAGCCGTCCAGGTAGCAGGACTGATAGAAGGGCCGAGGATCCAGAAGGCCGTGACAAGGCTGGAAGAAGCCCTTCAGCTGGGTTAGTTTCTGACATGCACCCTCACTCTGCAGCGCAACCACAGCTGTGTTTTCACAAGACTGAGCCAGAGCCACATATTGGGTCTCATCACAACTGAAGGCAGAGAAACATTTTTTGATTTCTCAAACAAACCAACCCACAAGCTCAACATGCTGCAGGGATGTTGAAGACCTACAACACTGGTTGAACAATCTCGAGCTTCAGGGTAATTATAAATACTGTACTTGCCAAAGCCTCACCTACCTGTTCTGCATTCCATTGGTCTTCCAGCTCTGGGCCAGCTCCAGAGCGCTGAGCGCCGGTTTCCCTCTTGAAGTGATGTAATCATCACTTGGATCTCCGTTGAAATTGCCACAAAGGCCACAGACCTTATTCTGAAGCCTTTGCCCCATTATGATGCTGAGGGTGTTAAAGCGGTTGTATCGAACCTGGATGTCAAGGGGTGTGTCGATGACGATGAAACCCTCAGATGTTGTCAGGCGTGTCATTAGGCCTGTGAGGAATGGTACTGAAACGGGTGTACCATTAACCTGGCAAAACAGAGATGTAAAGTTTGTGGTATATTAGGGTGTCATCTGCATAGGAGAAAACCCACCTGAAGATGAAAACTGAGAAGTAGAACAATTACATATTATGTAATGCTAAAACAGGAAGGTTGAGGCTACAGTTCCTTTTAGTTCAAGATCAGTAGGACTCAAGATACCATTGTGCCCTACCTATTGCTATATTGGCAGAATTTCAAGGAAACAAAAAATAATATAAAGTTTTGTTCAATTGCCAAATGGAAAAGGAGTTGTCAAGAAACCAGGTCAATAATATTATTAAGTAAGAGGACGTGAAGTCTGTGTAAAGAATCTTAAAGACATTCATAAGTAGTCTACTGTCACACACCAGCCTTCTGAGAAGTCTGACTCAGACCACTGTAGTAAAAAGGTGAGCACAGTAGTTTGAGTCCGCAATTGACACAATAGAAAACCTACATGTACACCAGTTTCAGGTATGGTACAGATTACTGGTGTACCTTTTACCTGGAAAACTGGACATGTCCAGTTTGTGGTATATTAAGGTGTCATCTGCATAGGAGAAAACCCACCTGAAGATGAGAACTGAGAAGTAGAACAATTACATATTATGTAATGCTGAAACAGGAAGGTTGAGGCTACAGTTCCTTTTAGTTCAAGATCAATAGGACTCAAGTTACCATTGTGCCCCACCTATTGATATATTGGCAGAATTTTGAGGAAACAAAAATACTGTTTTGTTTAGTTGTTAAATCAAACAAGAAAGGAGTTGTCAAGAAACTAGGTCAATAATATCTTTCAGTAAGAGGACGATGATATTAAGGTGTCATCTGCATAGAGCCACTATAGCCATCTGAAGAGAAGAAATATTCAACAATTACATGTAATAGCAGAACATTCTTGAAACAAGGCTACATTTCCATATGTTTTTAGGTCAGTTGGAGAGAAGTTACTGTGGTGCCATTTTGGTGGCTTACTTAAAAAACTACAAACAAAGGTTTTGTTTAACTTCCTGGTCACACCGAGAAGATGCAGGGCACCAGATGGTTAATAACTTTTAGTATGAGGATGTGGCTTTCAGCCTGACAGAAATAACCAGGTGATTAAGAGGCTAAGGATGACTGGGTAAACTATTGTGTTATAACTCTTAACAATGTAGAGATTCAACTATGAGCTACTGGTTGGGTTACAATGCTATTAAAGTTATAATACAGATTGACAGAAGGAACTGGACTATTTGGACCTGAGCTTTAAACCTGAGGTTTATAAACAGAGGAACAAACCCCCCCCCAAAAAAGCAGGGTCATAGTGGGGTTTTCGCAGTGTTAGAGTTTTGATGTTTATAAGTTTAGTCCTCAAATTTACAAGTCTGATTCCTAGTTCCAGTTGGCTTACAGTCCAGTTACCCAAGATCCAAAGTAAAAAATTTACGGACACATTTAACAAGTCACAGAGGAGACTATAACTTGATAAAGATTAAGGTTCTGAGACCACATTTGGATTTTTAACTAGCGAGACTGATTATTTCATTCTGTTACACAGACTGACTCAGCAACATCAACCTAATCTCTGTCAGCCACAATCTTCCCAATGTGGGATCCAAGGTAAGGTAAAAAGTCAAATAGATAAAACCTGGAGGAAGGAACAAAATGTTCCTTTCTCGGAACAAGATAAGAAAAAAAAGACATAAAAAGGTTGTCTCTGGAATGCCTTACTTTATAGAGTTATAGTCAATGTTAAGACACATTTTAACATTGATAATCAGGAATATTTTTGAAGAAAGAAAACTAAATTCGATTCTACACCTAATCCGTATGAGGGATGCATGTTGGAAATATGAAAATAATTTTACATTTATTAGATTTTTTTCATTCAATTGATTTTTATGTTTATTTTATTGCAAAACATTAATAAGTCAACCATGAAGTGACTTTTTGCTACTTTTTGGCTAATTCCAGTTTTTTTTTTGATATAATGTGTCATTATATGTAGGTGAGGTTGATAAGCTGTGTTTGCCTTTTGGTTTTGTTATTTTTTTATAAGATGTTTGCCTTTTGGTTTTGTTATTTTTTTTAATTAATAGCCCTTTTTGCCCATGTTTTCTGAAATAAGTCATTTTCACTATTTCTTTTTTATTGACTTAAATCTCTTTTCAATTTAAGTTATGGACATTTTTTGCCAGTTTGCATGACATCAAAGAAAAGCTAAAGTCTGACCAGAAATATAGATTTTCTGATTTTAATGCGACTTGAAATGCATAAGAAAAGTAAAATGGTAAAGATCCCAGGAATCAGGTCAAGATGCTCCTACCTTGACAGTGCTGCCAGAGATGAGTATGTTCTCCTCATTGATGTAGAGGTAGACGTGAGAGATGGTGGTCAGGTTGGGCGTGCTCCACTTATCAAAGTTGGCGATGAGTTGGAAGGAGAGGTCAGGCAGCTTGTGGCAGTTGGTGGATAAGACGAAGGAGCAGGAGGCTGGAAGCCTCAGAGAAGCTCCGTCGAAGGTTCTAAAGACCCCACCGCCGGACGCCACACAGTGCTGCAGGCGTCGTGCGAAGCAGCCGCGCACTCCATTTCGGAGGGTGCACTCTTCCTCTGCCTTGCAGCGCCTGGGGTCACACTGGACCAGGTTTCTGCCGATGCAGTGGCAGCGCTTGGTACAGTCACTGTTCCAGAACAGCTGTTTGGGCTGGAACAGAGAAGGCTTTCTGGTAAATTCTCGGTTCAAGTATTCACCTGTTGCATCACCTTCTATTCTTGTTCTTGATAAGGGACTCACCTCATAGTACTTCCCGTCGGTGTAGCAGCCACAGTTTTGAGGCAGGATGCAATTCTTGCCGTTTAACACGTAGCCCTGATCACACTGGCAGCCCTCGACACAGTCCTGGCTGCAGTCTCTCTGGCCACGGGCGGGGGCGCACTGAGGTGGGCACACCGGCACACAGATAGAATAACGGCTGTTGGGTGGACAGCTCTGAACTGAAAGCAGCAAACAGCATTATTTAACATTTGTACATTGATGATTCATTTGTTAACTCTTGTCATGCCAATGCTAATGAATTGGCATTATTTCTATGCTAAAACTTAGCTGTTTCTTCCTTAATTAATGTGTTAAAATCCAGTGTTACAGCAGTTAGTGTTGTTTTCTGTATTTTTCTTTTTTTTTAAACCCTTTGATTTTCCTCACTGAACAGCAGTTAGTGTTGTTTTCTGTACTTTTTCTTTTTTTTTTTAAACCCTTTGATTTTCCTCCAGGATTCCTCCAAATTCGTTGAGATTGCAGTTATTAGAAAGAGTTCTCTGTAACATTAATCAAACCCTTATATGAAAAAGTGATGAGAGTGTGTTCTGTGATTAAATTACAGTAAACACGGGCAGAATTACTGGAAAGACTTTCATCAATGAGGGTCTGGGAAAATAGGTGTAGACCTGATCCGGACTCACCACATGGCGTCTCCCTCCTCCACCCAGTAACCGGTACGCCCTGGGTCTGACAGGTGCTGGCGTAGATCTGCAGCCAGTTACAGATGGTATCCTGAGCGCCCTGATCCAAACAGGTGTCCTGCAAGCAGCTTTGATAGAAGAAAGATGGCGCCACCTTGCTGTGGCAGCGTGCAAAAACGCCTCCTCTATCTGCAATCAGGCCACACAGCCTCACGGCCTCCGGCTCCACAAACACATACAGTCCATTTCCGATGTGGAAACGTATGCCGGTGTTCACCTCCCCCGCTGCCCCGTTATCGTCTCCCGTGTCAATGAGGGCTGGGCTGTCACTCTGCAGACTCTTCTCTCCCAGGCCGCAGCGTGGGCACGAGTCTCCGCAGCCCACCTGGCAGAAGGTGTCCCTCTCTGCCCACGTCATGCCCCATTCGGTGGGCGTGAGCGCCGGAACGGATGTGGGCAATGACCCGCAAAGGCCACAGGTGGTGTTGTAGAGGTTTCGAGGCAATGTCAGCAAGAGGAGTGTGTTCCAGTCAAACGCCACCTTCAGGCCAAAGTCTGTCTCCACAGTCAGCTGCAAACCCAGGGTTGTGATGTTGACTTTTCCTGATCCCAGTTTCAGAGGAATGTACAAACGTTCCTTATTGACCTGAGGGAATGAAAGACAATGGATGTAGTTATGACACACTGTTAGCAGGGAACTGATCTTTTAGGCATTTTGTGAACCTGAGCCAAAATGCCTCACAGGGTCACTTCTGTCTGAACCAAATCCAAGCCTGATAAAAAATGCCCACTGAAATCAGAGCCACTCATCTTAAGCCAATCAAAAGAGGAATTCACACTCTGTCTGGTTCTATCAGTTTGATTAGAACAATATCAACAAAAAACAACCTTGACCTTCACAGGTCATAATATGGCCATGTAGATACTGTAGTAGTGACTAGCAGAACAGCAATAATACGGCCATATAGATACTGTAGTAGTGACTAATGACCCCTGACCTTGGACTGTGGACATGGATATTGAATGATATTGAAACATTTTGCACACAGCAATTAAGAATTTCTTAACTTGTAACTGAGAGCCCCATCTAAAATAGACCTTAGCACGCATGTTGTCCAGATCAGCATTTGTTCTACTGAAGACTAGAACCTGTGACCTAAGGACTTGTCTTTCAAAGCTGTGATGAATCCATCGAGTTCCAGTATCCCTATTTTTTTTTTAAATTTTTTAGTGACTCAAAACTACGTAAATAATTGAGACTAAATTAAAATTTTTCCTCTGTATTGAAATCAAACTTTTTTTTCTAACACTAATGTATTAACCTCTCAGGCTTGAAGAACTGAGACACATAACAACTAAAGGGTTAAAGACAAATCATTTTCATTTATACCAACAGTGACACACAATCCAATTTTTTCACAAGACAGTGAAGGCACCACTTGGATTTCTTTGACTATGGTTGGTTAAATTTGCCTACCGAGAAAATCCACCCAGGCAGATTCCTCTGTAACTTGACTGGGTGAGGAACATTGTCACTGATGCACTTACCGTAACTGTATTTTTGTAGGTTCTCAACACCTCAATGTCATAGTCGTACACCTCCAGGACGAAGCCTCTCACCCAAATCGCCTGTCCCGTGTCCCTGTCCTCATTGCGGACGGAAAGTTTGAATGGAGGAAATCCTCCAGAAACGCCTGCGGTGTTCATGTGTTCTCTCGCACAGTTGGTGGTGGTGGCCATTTTAAGACTACATGAGCTCTGCAGCTCAAACGATGCCCCATTGAATGGCAGAAAATGTCCGTACCCGGCTGCTATGCACAGGGCCTCGGTACGCGGCACACAGTAATACATGCCATTGTTTTCCTGGCAGAACTGTTCTGGGCGGCAGGGTGCATGTCGACAGTAGACACTGTTGTCGGAGCCGTTGCAGTAGCAGCGCTGCTGGCATTCCCAGTCGGTCCAAAAAGTGTGATTGGTGGCGAAATGGCGTCCGTGGCTAATGCAGCCACAGTCACTGCGAGCCACACACAGTCCGTCACGCAGCGCAAAGCCATCCTCGCACTGGCAACCCTCCTGGCATGGGAAAGGACACGGCTCTTCAGGCACATACAGGTTGGTACAGGTCAGAGGGCAGGCAGTGGTGCATTCATCAAAATGACTGTGCTCTGGACAGGGAAGAGCTGAGAACAACGAGAGAGACAGAGGACAGTGAACGCATCACCTCCTGTACATGCCTGTCAGTAAAAATGCTAAGTTTAAACTGTGGTTTAAGAATCACACAAGTGATCATGGATGATGGTGTTGGTACGGGATATGCTAATGTGAGTAATCAGTAGTCTGTTTAAAAGACATATTGGAATTTTTTTTTTTTTTAGGTCTTTCTACATTTTTGCCCTGGTTTATAGACAGTACAAAAGTATTTTATAATTTTGGGAAAACAAAATGTTAGAGGAAGGCATCTAGGCTATATTTAGAGGAGGACATTTTTAAATGGACATTTAAGGACTGCACACATGCACTCTGAGGACAACTGAGGCCACAGCTGCAGCCTGGAGGCTTTCTGATAAGAAGAACCACCCAAGACCTGCAGGTGATAAAACCAGTGTTTGGTTCGCTCTGGCTTCCAAGACTATAGAGATATTGAGTTTAGAATTTAGCTGACCTACAATGCTGGTTTGACCTTCCACATGACAACTCTCATGGAAGGCAGGAATCTTTATATGACACCTGATAAGTGAAAAGATGCCTTTAGAGTTGGTCCGTTTTTACTCACGACAGTTTGTTGCGCTCCTCCAGTATGTGAGGCCTATTTGAGCATCCTGACAGGCGGTGGCGTAGGCCTGCAGCGAGGAACACAAAGCTGAACGGTTCCCTTCCTTCACGCACATGTTATACAAACAGTTCCTAAAGAACGGCGAGGGGTTGACCACAGCGTGACACGCCAGGAAGGAACTGTTCCCGGGGTCGTTGATGTTACCGCACATGTAAGGACTCTGGTAAATACGCAGGTCGGTGCACATTCGGTACAGGTCGTCACAGTCACCGTTACACGTGAGGTCGTCCGCGATGGAGCGCCAGCCATCTGTAAACTGTTCAATAGACTCTGCCAGCCGTCCGTTAGGGAGGCGGAGATCGTCTGTGGCATTGCTGTTGAAGACGCCACACAGACCACAGGTAACGTTGTAGTATAAGGTGGAGAGGGAGATGTTGAGGGATCCCTGGCGGGTGTAGCGGACCATCAGGAGGCCACGCGACTCTACGACTGTGGCGTTACCCGGTGCTTTGTAGATCATCATGGTCTCCATGGGATGGATAAACGGAAGCATCACCTGTTCACCATTGACCTTGAGCAAATAAAAAAGAAATCAAATGTCAAATATATTTTCTGATAAATTTAAATTGTATTCTAACGTAACTAACTGCGTAGATCAGGTGCATGCAGTTTGGGAAGACAGGTTTAGCTGACTGCAGCAATTAAAAAAAAACATGACAATCTTTTAACCAATTTTGACCAATTTCGGCCAAGCATTTCTGACCTAACAATAAGCTTAACTCTTACCTAACACTGAGCTTTTGGCTAACTTAAAGTTTATTAGTAAGTTAAATAGATAAACTTGGGTTATTTATGAATTTTTTTTATCCTCCACATCATGTTATAATTTTAGTTAACATGTTACTATTTTGCTATTTATGCTTTCAGCATTGATACTTTATTATAAAATATCTTTTGACTAAAAATGACTACATATTTTTCAGTTTTGGCTTTGGCAAACATGACAATCTATGACAATGACTAAAAATGACTACATATTTTTCAGACCCATTAATGTATTGACTGCAGTACTTCCTATGTTTTATGTACTGTATGTACTATCACAGGTTTCCTTTTTACAGGAAACACATTGAATATTGCTTGTGTACTGCAGTATTACAGTACACAAAGGACTTACACACTACTCACCTTTACTATATTAAAATCTGTGCCTCCTATTTGAGCCTCCATGTTGGCCACTGTAACTATGACAGGTCTTTTCCAGGCAGGGCCTTTGTTGACCAGCTTGCGGCCTATCTTCACCTCCACCATCGAGCCATTAGCGGGCACTGCACCACACAGTTTAAGCAAGTAGTAAGAGCTGTCGTCCGGAAACGTCAGGAAGGTGCCATCAAAGGATGATGTCACGGAGTTCTGTGTGACTGTGCAAACTCCTTCCCTCCGAGGATAACAGCCCAGCCTCCCTACTTCTGCCACGCACACCTCCCCTTCCTTACAGGAGGCATTAACGCAGGACACTTCTCCAGCAGGCCCGCAGGTGCAGCGATGGCTGCATTCACCTTCCTCCCCACTGGACCCTCCCCAGAAAGTCTCGTTGAGGGGGTAATAGAGGCCGTTGTAGTCACAGCCGCAGTCCTCACGCTGTACACAACGGCTGCCGCTGAGAACGAAGCCTTGGACACACTGACAACCCTCAGTGCAAGGATGGACGCAGTAAAGTGGGGCTGTGAGGTCAGAGCAGGAGGCCGGACAGGCACTTGTACAGACTTGATAATGGCTGTTCTCGGGACAGGACAAAGCTGAAAACCAGTGAGAAAGAAAAATGTTAAAAAACAAAAAATAAATCAACGTATAATGAGTACTTCCCTTAATTGACTCTTACTGCAGAAGTTGAGAGATCTCCAGGGACGTATGGTGACCCCCAGAGCCTGACAGGCCAGGGCGTAGGCCTGGACGGCCTGACACAGTGTGGTGATGTTGTCCTTGTTGCTGCACATATCGTAAACACAGCTGTACACAAAGGCGGTGGGGTCCACCACGGCCCTACAGTCCCTGAAGGGTCCGTCAGTTCTGTTGATGATCCCACAGTAGTCCTGACGGAAATAGAAGGCCTCCGTGATAGGATCGCACACGCTGCAGTTCTGGGTGCAGCCATCTGTGCACCTCCAGTCTGTGTCCTCGGCTCGCCACCCCCCTCCCAACTCAACCACGCTTTCTGCTAAGGATCCATCGGGTAGCACAGGGTCGTCGGCAGGGTCATCGTTGTAGTTGCCACAAAGGCCACATGTGTTGTTGAAGTAGGAGCTGGGCAAGGAGATGGAGGCGTAGTGTTGGCCATCGTATGTTACCAATAGTCCAAAGTCTGTTTCCAAGGCAACGGCAACCCCAGATTGATACACCCTGATGGCACCGAGCTGAAGCTGGACTGGTAGCGTTTTCACCAGGCCATCCACCTAAAAATAAATACAATTGTACATTTAGAACAGACAGAACAGATGACAGGAGCAGTTCAAACATTTGTTGGAACAAATCTGCTTGTTTAAGCCTCAGACAATCTAAACAAAATCCCAACTGCTCCAGCTGCAGGGATTCTGATTACAACCCGAATTAGCACTTAGCTTCTTGACCATCATGTTGCCATGACATGATAGATCGTCATAAAAAACAATGTGTGAAAAAGACTTTTGTTTAATTTATAAACAATATCATAAATTCACTATTTTACACTTTAAAATAATGAAGGATATTATCGTGTGATTGGCAAATTCTCACCTGAACTGTTCCAAAACTGCCTTTTGGCAACGTGACTCGATGACCGTAGACTTCCACTGTCACGTCTCTGAGCCAGGAAACTGAGGCCATCCCACGGTTCTCATTTTTAGCCTCGACGCTGAAGAATGGAAGCCCTGCCAACTCCCAGCAAGGCCGAGCCAACAGGTAAGAACACGTCCCCTGGAAATGATAGAGAAGGCCGTCGAAGGTGTGGTAATGAGGGTCACCAAACACCACACAGGTGCTGGTGCGAGTTGGCTGGCAGTAAAAGGCCCCTTCCTGCTGCTCGCAGGTTTCCAACTGCCCACATGGAGCTTCTTGGCAATGGACCTCGTTGTCAATGTCCAGGCAGCGACATCGCTGCAAGCAGAGGTCGGACAACCAGAAGTTTTCACCCCGTCTGTAATATCGACCTGGAAGGACAGAAATTGACAGTTTAAGGCTTAGACATGAATGAAATGATTAAGCTATTTGGAATGTTTTTGAGAGGTTTAACATTTGATTTACCATTGTGGCTGCAGCCATTGGCAGGATCTATCTGGTCAGTGTCAACGCGGAAGAACCAACGCCCAGGGATGTTGATGTTGGTTGATTGTTCGATGTTTACCACATCATTTGACCTTGACCATGGCAGGTTGAAGAAGTGACCAATGTCTCCACCGTTAAAACCTGACTGAAAGGGGGAAAGTCGTGAGGTAAAATGTTGAGAGAAAAGACTTTTTATTTTTCTGAAATGATACAGCGAGAAAGGTGAGATTACCTGAGCTGTGGTCCCACCCAGGCCTGTTAATGGATCTCCACCACTGGCCGTTCCTGTGCTCCATGTGATTTCTCCATAGTTAAACATACTGAAGAATGCCACGCCATCGGAGATTAGCACAACTTGAAATGTATTGACCTTGAACAATGACAAAGGAATGAACGAGCTTTTTTTAAGCAACAGATATATTTCTAGAAAATTCTTCAAAAGTCTATGTCAGTTACTCATCTAAAGATGACGTTTGGAGCACACACTGCTAACATACCAAGTTAAATATTTGACAAATATTACATATCAGTGTCATGGTTGATGTCTATTGTTCTCTGTTGGTGCCTATGCCCAAATCTAGAGCACAAAATAGGATATTACCGGCGTGGTTTGGCTTCCTCCGTAGAAGGTGACTTGATGCCATGTGGCTATAAAGACCCAGTGGGCTGTGAAGGTTGGCAGGTTTTTAAAATGTCTTCTCACGTCCTGCGTCGCCCTCTCTAGTATTTCTGCTTCGGTGGACTCTCTGTAGTAGACATCTCCACGGATACCGTTGTGCACGTCCGCCCAAAGAGGAGCGATAAAGGATCTGCTGTCACTGAGTGGAAATGCCTCTGGTGTGAACTGGCTGACCTGCACGCTGAAGGAGATCACACCGTTGTTGTTGACCTGCGGATGGAAAAATGAAAGGTTTTGCCACAAAGTCCTCTTTTCAGTCACGGAATTGTTTGCGAAATTGGATCAGTGCTTACGTAGATGGAACGGTAGGGAATATTGAAGAAAACAAAAGGCATGAGCAAAAAAATCTCAGGCGAACTCCCATCGTCCATCTTGGGGGTTTCTAGGTCCCTGTGGCTGGGTCCAAATGGATACAGGACATCCTGAGAGTTTGCTGTAAAGGAAAGTTGAACAACCAAAGGTGAGCAGATATTTTATTAGCTTGAACTTCCCCTGATATTTTAAAAAATAGTTTTTTAGGTTAGGAGTTATTAAATTGAATGTGTTACCTCCAATTTGTGCAAAGATGCTGAAGACATGGAACAGAATGACTGTACAGCTTGGTCCGACCATTCTTAAGAAGAAGTAGAAAAGAGAATTAGTTTTAAGCACATTTTGAACACTATCACATTTTTGTTTGTGTTCCAGCAGCTAACAGCTTTAGCTATTTCTTTGGTTATATTTTATGATTTTGGCAGCTGTTAAAACATCTGTAGGGTTAATGTTTACTAGTATGTTGTTCTTTGAAGAACCATGTACGTTTTTCAATTAACTTTAAAGCAGGTTTGACGCTAACGTTAACTTATCTTATCAATTTTCCAGCCAACTGCACTTCTGTGGTTGTTCTTTTTTTAGTTTTTGAGTTACTATAAATATCTTGGAGTACTATAAATATCTTAGTATTTCTCTATATTTTTGTTTATTAAGCTAATTAGAGTCAATATTTTGCACATTTTAAAACTATACAGAGCAAAACACTCAAACAATACTCGAAATAATTTATCCTCCCTGGTTTCAGCTAATGGATAACCGGGAAGGTGACTGATACTGCTCTGACGCTTCGGATAAACAGGGCTCTTACAGGAAACTAAAAAGAAGGAGTTGTACCATCTACCACCGTCACGTTACTTCTTTAAGATCAGTCTCCCAGATCTCCCCAGAGGAATCCTGAAAAGACCCCTTTATGCATGCCGAGACAAAGCATCAGGATCGCATTTGCCTTACAGTCCCATGTGAGCTTGCAACATTGAACTAAAGGCCTCTCAGTGACTTGGTTTCCCGCAGCTGACCCCGGTGACCCACGTTGGTCCAGCGCCTCTGTGTCTGAAGCCACAGGGTTGCTCAGAACCTCTTCAACACTTTTGTCTGGGAGCGAGCCATGCCTTGTTGGTTAAACAACAGGAGCATTAACACTGGGACTCTGATGGTTTTAAGAGACGAGGGTTGATTTGCCCAGGTCATTGACACTGGCCTTATGGAGCCGTTCTGGGTCCAGTTTGGGTTTGAAATGTTGGCAGAGTAAAATGTAAAGCCATGATTTTGTTTACGGTTAAAAAATGTTTCGATTATTTCACGGCCGCTCTGCCTCTGCCTCTGCTAAGTTCTGGCACCACATCTGCAGTAATCGACTAGATCCATTTTAATAAAAGAGCTACTATGATCAGATGAATCTCTCCAACGATCAATCCTGATCCGAGGAGGCCCTGGCAGAACAGCTTTCACAGTTGGACGACCTCGTCTGACCTGTAACCACTGCAGCATCAGAGCAGGTGGACACTGGTTGGATAGAAAAGCTTTGTTCCAATATATATACAGCATGCTGTATAGCGTGATGATAAATTGGTGATAACTAAGGAAGTGTTACGTCATGAAGTGACAGATTAGAATAACAATTGCTCTTCTGACTCCTGAAACCAACCATCTTATCTGACTGGCACTAATTCGACAGAGCTTTTAGGAGAGCAATTTAGATAAAGCCCCCGGGACATAAAAGATGAACGAGACGCTTTTGTCATGATTATCTCTGAGGTCATACCAGGCCAGAGAAACCCACACTGTAGCAGACCGGCCTAATGGCTCAGCACAGGTTCATTAAATCAATCACGATGTTAACTGTACTTAACTGTACAACACAGTGTTAAAGTGCTGTGCCTGTAACTGGACCTTTGATGTAATAAAACATTTTCACCAAATGTTTCATTGATGTTGCATAACATACATTTTTTGTCTTCCATTTCTGCTTGAGAAAGATCTGTCTAGAAGATTCAAAGAATATGCAGGAAAAAATACATTTTTAAAACACTACTAAAAAGATGTATTATTATATGGAGTCTGATGACAATTGTTGACATGTCAACGTGATTAATCCAGAATGGAATATGTCAGCTTTAGGTGATGTTAAAAAATAACAATTCGAGGAATTGTTTATATTTACGTGTACAACAGACTCTGCTCTATCTCTGTACAGATGCTTTAGCTGTAAAAAAAAAAAAAAATCTCTACAGTGGTTACAATGACCATGACCATAAAGCATTACGCCAACATCCGAACAACATTAAAAACAACATTAAAAAAATAAGAGGGGAGTTTCTTACTATTTTCATAGTTTTTTATACAATTTTACAAAGTATTTAATGGTATATTTAATACAGTGCTCAGAATTTTAAGTTACAAAGAAAGGAATTTCTCACCTGCGTTCAGATGACGGACATCGAACACCTGACTACTCTAACCTAGCAACCTCCTCACAGACCAGTCCCATCCAACAGGAAACCATCAACAGAGGGCGTCAAAGGAGGCAGACGAGGTGACACCTGCTAAAAGGAGAAGACAGTTCGTTGGAAATGAGTTACTCTACGCCGTCCAGTTGAAAGGAGACTCTCTCGTTTAGTTCCAGGGCGAACAGCACCGTGGTGGTAAAAATCCAGAGTTCTGCTGCGGATGGAATCGAACAGTGATGACGCTGAGAAAAATCTGGACTGTTAGGAAAGCTCAGGTTCGAGCGGCGGAAAGAGCTTTGCCCCTAAAGAGGCAGGTGCGAACTTCACCTGGGATAGTGTTCAACTTAATCTGAGATCAGTGTTTGGAGAAGGGGGTGGGAGGAGGGGGGAGGGAGGAGAGGGGAGGGAGAACCTAGGAATTTGAAGAGAAGAGAGGAAGAGTGAGAAGACTCTGAGATGTTAAGGATAGAGGTCGGACGTTGGGTAATGAAGAGAAGCTGGAGAACTGTGTCGAAAAATGTTGTTTAAACTGTTGCAGGAAAAGGAATGTTTTTCACAAAGAAAAGTATTCACTGAGAGAGAGACACTGAGAGACACTGAGAGACACCTGCAGGGGATCAGATGATGATAGTGTGTCTTTTGGTCGAAGATTTGTTTTAAAAATTGGAAATGATCATGGTTCTCAAAGCGGGGGGAGGTGCAGGGAAAACAAATGAGTTTATCAGCCATTTTTCCCGAGCAGTTATCAATGTTTTCAATTTCATTTTAATAATTATTAATTTAATTATTTCCATCTACATATTGCACATATTAGTACAGCTCATTTTGTTAAACTATCAGCTTTATATTTAAAATTATTATATAATATATAATATTTAATTTAATTTAATTGCTCTATCCACAAATTGGTGGCGCTATAGAAGAACTTAGGGAACCACTGCCTTAAGTCTTCTTTCTACAATTTACTGGGAGGGCAAATATTGTAGTAAACAGGTTTTACTAGTACTTGATATTAGGGTAGTGTGAACGAATGTAGTTTAGAGGGAAGGTGTTGTAAACAGTGGTGAATCAAAAGAGGGTTTTCATTTATAAAAAATCCCTCATTGAGTCAATACTGTCACTGAGAAGACAAAGGTTCAGACTAGGATTAGATATTGGTTTGTTTTCCTGGGTTCATCAGGTACATTTGAGAATTAGGGACCAAGGAAGTACAAAAACGTACCACAGTGGAAGAGACTCACTCTGGGACATTTATGGACAAAACACACACACACTGTCTGAAACCTTTTCAAGCACTGCATTAGGTAAGGTTACAGAATTAACATGAGTCACTTTGGAAACTCTGTGTCCCCCCCCGCCCCCCTTTTCTTTAATTAGGGAGAGCCTCATCTACAAGGTTTCACAAGACACTTCATTACTATAGATGCTGCAGAGATAGCAGCGGGGGAAATCTCAGGTGAATCCACACTGATAGGGTCTGGGAAGGAGAGGGCAGTCAGTTGGGCCTTTGTTGGAGCCGGACAGTAGAAGTAACTGGAGAGGTGGAGAGCAAGATGTGTGAAAGGCTCCAGGTATGAAGCCAGGCCCTGAGCTCCCATTAAGAGCAGCAGCAAGGCTTTCTGTGTGGGCTTCTTTTATACCTCCAACGCCTTGTTGTGTAAATGCTCACATACTCTTACTCCCAGCCCCAGAAAGAAGGAACGGCACAATGGAGGACAAAAAAAAAACAGCAGTTACAGATGACCTGCTGGGTCGGCCAAACTTCCTGATCTGGAAGGGATGTGCTTTTGGGAAACGATGAGGAAGACCAAGACGAGCTGGTGTGATTTCAAGGATTTCTCGTACTTGCTCTCTCACATTCCCGATATCCATGAATCAGGATGCAGCATTGTGGAAATGAAGTGCGACTTTACTGGAAAGCGTAACAAAGAGGAGGCTTTTTTGCATCTGTATATTCCAGGCAATTCAGTATTGACTACATATACCATAACAATCTGTTGGTCCCTTTTCCACCTGCACATGACCTTATCCCACAGACAGAACAGCAGCTTTATAACATTCCCAGCTTCTAATTGGACAAAGTGATAAAGAGGATGCTTAGAGAATCTCTTGGCCACCGGTGAATACTTTAATCAGTGCTGACTGCTGGGATACAGAGGCGTTTAGGAAATATTTGGACATACTGTATAATAACAAAAATCCAAGAGATCCTAACAAGCCTCTGTTGAACAGTTAAACTCTGTCAAAGCCTTGGAGGCAGCAGGATGGCACCGTATGGGAACAAGGTCAAAGGATCTGGCAACACAAGTTCTGGAGAACCCATCAAGCCTGACCTTCACAATGAAGGTCCTGGACTGGATACCAGTTGAGCCCTTTTCTGCCGTCACCCAATCCGTGGAGTGGGCTGCTCTTATTCAACCCCTGTGCCCAGCGTTTGGCTCTGCCCAGACCTCTGCTCCTTCTTTTCCATTCATGATGTTGACCCTCCTTCCAGTAACCCAAACCTCCGTGCCCTAACGACTCCCTCACCTCGCCGCACAAAAGGCCTCGTTCAGCACCATCTGCCCTCAATCCCAATTCATAATGCAATGGGGCAGATCAGAGTACCAAAGGTGCAGCCAGGTCCTCTTTGCCAAGTGAGAACCGAGAGCATGGATAGCGAGTGGGATTAATATTAAGATGTTAAAATATTACAAAATCACCCAGAAATAGTTTGTGATGTCCACACAAAACAAAGTCTTGTGAGTAACAACTCCTACAGTGAAAGGAACATCAGCTCTCAGGAGCCTCCAACTGCTACAAGTCACCAAAGTGAAGAGTACCGTTGTGACCGAATGGTCTACTGGCTTCTAGGCCCCCACACTTTGAGAATACCTGCTGCTGGTGACAGCGTGTTGAGGGGTGGGTTGGCACCGACATCCCACACAGGATTAATGCCACACTGCTGGTAGAGAAGGAGAAGGTTTAGAAGGAGGAGGAGAGAGGGAATGCCCCAGAAACTCAACACCGCCTGACACATATGGAATGGACTCTGTTCAGGTAGATCATAACATTCATGCCAGAAAGAGAGAAGATCTGCAGAGTGCAGCCGTCTGCACAGCCAAGTATTCATTCTGTGAAAGAGAGGCGGGCATCACCGTGGTGAACACACACTCTGTCGCCATTATTAGAAATGGTAGGTCCACAAGACATCCAGTCATCTTTCAAGGATTCACAAATCACTTTGGGTTTGTTCCTTATTGGGGGTCGAAACAGCAGTAGATTGGACAATGAACAGATTTACTTCTGGTGTCAAATGAAGCTGTCATCAACAATGGAAAGGCAACACTAAAAACCAAGCACTATTAAAATAGTTTGTATGAAACCTGGGTTAAACGTCATACAGTGATCTAATACTATGGGTCCAAACGCATGAAAACCCCCCCCCAAAAAGACACCAGTGGATCAACACTGTTATTGATCTGTACCTGTTATAGTTTATTTCTTTAAGAGCTGAGAGAAGACAGGAAAGACAGACGTAGAAAAGACGTTTACATCAAGAGACAACACAAGATTTTAATCAATCCAAATGTGAAGAAATGTTAAAATACAGAGGAGAAAGTCGACACCAACTAAACACAGACAGCAAAGACATTTTTTGTGTCAATAATAAATCATTCACTACATATTCTGTGTTAAAGCCAAAGATAGACGTGAAGAGAAATAAGCCCTAACATTTAAAAAAAAAAAAATTTTCCACATCCCAAATGCTTTTTAAACACGTCTATATCTCTGAAATGTCTCACTCCTCACACACATTTAAGTCAAACCACGACATGCAAACCAACATGCCGCCAAACACGTGACACTCATCCCATTATTTTCCCCCCGAGTGTTGAGACGATCAGAAAACGTTCAAGGCTGGTGAATCAGCACAGAAAAGACAAGAAGTCTCCAGGCGTCTGTTATAAGAACAACAACTAAGTCAGACTTAAAGACGGTCACAGAACGACAGCACTTCAGAAGAATTTCACAAGTCAAAACTCCACGTGTCATCATTTAAAGTAAAAGTATTTTCTTATTGATACACGAAACATTTTTTGAGCCACAAGATTCCAGGACTTTGCTCCAAACACATTTCTGCATGCAGTAAAAAAAAGAAAAAAAAGAGAAATGGATCGATACACATTGAACTATTTTTTCATCAGAATGCTTTTCATAAGAAGCTTTGAAAGGTTCAAAAATACTCCAGAGCCAATTCCTTAGAAAATAATGATGAATTAGTTTCAGGTATTTCCACAATTTCTTTTGTTTTTTCAGTATATTCAACAAAAGTCACGCCAAGGACGCGAGTCAAGACATGCGCCCGGCCCTCATTCGTTTCTTTAACATGTCTTCTGGTTGTAGCCTAATCACACCAGTTCAGTGAATTTCCCCACTGTGGGAAGAATAAAGGACTTCTCATCTTCAGTGCTGACTTTTTTTTCTTCAAATGAGATAAGAGCAGAGCATAAGGGTAGAAATACAGCCAGTATTTGACATAAGAATCTACTGTCAATCCACAAAATGAAAACCTCTGCTTCATCATGGCCCAAACTGTTCCACTCATTAGACTATGGTGTGACAAATTCACTGCCGCCACAGTTCGACTCTGACTCACACACTACGCCAAAACAATCAGTGTCACAAAAACAACAACAACATCAAGGAAAGTTCAGTCCAACCCTCTAACGATGCATTCACTGACCTAGTTTGTTCAGGCCTGAACCTCAAAAATCAAAAATTATTACACATTATTTTTTCACTTGAATAAATATTTAAAGAAAAAAAAACTCAGTTGTACGTTCAAGTCTTTCTTCTAATTAGTTTTTCAGTCAAACTACTTCAAACGGTGGGTACGGGGAGGGCTGAGCAGGGCTGTCACTTTAATCAACCTGAAGTTACACATCTGCCAAAGAACAGAGGGTCAATGTTCAAATGAGTTGGTCAAAACCCAGTGTGAGTTTATATCAGACAGCAGAGGGAGCTGTAAGTATTGTTCAACCCTGATCTGTAAAAATAAAAATAAGACAGTCTAATTGTTTTTCCTGTTAGCAAGCAAAACACTGCTGGACAAGCAAAATGTTTTAGAATTCTCAAGAATTCTGTATTACAAAACATTATATCAAAGTAGTGTTTTAAAGCCTTTGTGCCTGAACATGCTTGTCTCCCTATTATGGTATGGTAGTAAGAAGACTTCAACCACAAGTGATTTTCCTCTGTTGACAAGCAATGTAAACACATAATGAAGAAATATGTTACCAATATGTTACTTAAAAATATTACTGGTCAGAACACCCTGTATGTTAGTCACCCAGTATTGACAAAGATATTTTCACAATTTGGGTAAGAAGATAGATAACGTATATATTTTGGCCACTAGAAGTTCAAAGGAGAAACGTTAAAATCTGTTATGGTACATTTATGATGTAAAATGTGCTACACACAGGGTTGTCATGTATTTAGAAAATACATGGCAACCCTACTAGGTTGGGGCCAATATTAATTGACAACCACCAATTCTAAAGTGAGTTCAGTTTTTTTATATTAATGTGCAATTTGTGCATTTAATTATAATTTTGGTGGGGTTTATTTTTCATTTTCCTGCCAGAAATGGACTCATGCCATAAATTGATTTGCAAACTGTACTGTATAGGTCACGACTGAGACGTAAACTGTTGTCAATGTCTCAATGTAACGTCCACTCATGTAATAAACTCTGTAAAACCTCCTTAGCTGTTCGTGCAAATGTGCTGCTGTATAATTCCTTGCAGTTGAGTCCTGAAAAACGTTTACTTAAACTTTTTTTTTTTAATTTTAAGAAAAAGTCTTTTAGAGACTTAAATATGCGAGGAATTGCTGCGGTTTTTGTCTTTAGGCACTATCAAGATTTCGTCCCCGTCGCGAATACTGTATGAGTGGAGGGCCCGGCTGCCGCATTTCAGCTCCTCGGGGCCCAGGACGGAGCACATCTCACGGTTGATGTGAAAAAGCCTGATCCTGTTGTCGGGGAGCTTCAGCAAAGCTCTGAGTTTTTTCTTAAGGTCGCCCACCGTCTGCTCCAGGTGAAGACTGACCGCTTCCACTCGATCGCCCCAGCGAACGTCCACCACTGTGCATCGAGGGCTCAGGTCCACATCGGCCAACGGGGCCAGGTGACCATATCTGGACACAAGGATATGGTACCTGGGAGAAATGGTGGATTATATAGATTTGAGAAGAAAAACAGAAACATATTTCATCTTAATGCATTTTGATGACAAAAAAATAAATAAAAAGTACATTAAATTTCTGGTTTCCCACACTGAGTGAGGGCGAATGCAAATGTGTGCGTGTGTCTCAGAGGTAGCGAGACACCGAGTTCTTTGCCTCTTGTTTGCCGTGAGAACACTCCTGGTCATCTCTGGGGAATGCGTGTTTGAGATAAAGACCCAGGAACGTTTAAATAAAGAGAAAAGACCTGCACTTTCAAAGCTACAGTAACATTTGGGCCAATCAAAGCAATTTCCCTTCCCTTCCCTCCCCAAAAATGCCTCCACAAAGCCAACCCCCTGGCCTGAGGTTTCTGGCCAAATCCCATGGTCCAACCTGGGAATACTCCTCTGAGGCCACAGTGCACAAAGTGCCATTCTCCTAAAAGCTATTAAGCTAAAAAGCTTCATTTAAGGTGGTAAATTTGACATAATGGGACAAATCAAGCTGCAGGTGATAACAAGCCGCCAAGCCTGTTGTCTTTTTAAGCATCCTTTCATCAATGGACTGCAGGAGAGGCAGAAAGAAAACATTTTGGGTCAAATTCAGCATCTATCACACACAGATCTCAGCAGATATGGATGTTCCAATCTTTCTGAGTGAATCCTCTGTTGGCAAAAAAAAAAAGGGTAAATTGTTGATTTTCCCCTGTCTTCCGTTACAGTGTGGCCCTCAATATACACTCTTCCCTTTACAGACCTTCTCTACTTATTTTACCAGTCTTGGATTTCCTCCTCAATCTAGTCTTCTCTTTGACTTTTTCCATGGAACTAATCCTTCCTGTCCAGGCCAGTTTTTTCCCCCCTAAACTCCATGGCTTTCCCAGATTATCCACAATTCTTTGTCCATACGTTTCTCAGGGCTGCTGATACTGTATATCACTCTCGATCAGTCACATATAGGTCTTAAACTTACACTTTTCTACAGGCCAGCGTCGGGCGTGTTCACCTGAGAGGCTGTGACCTGCCCCTCGCTGTGCTCTGATCTCTCAGCGCAGCGGGGCCACCAGCATCATCCGCAAAGGAAAGCGGATATTGGTGTGTTCGCCGCTGACCGAGCGTGTCCGATGCCCCCATAAGACCCACACACGGCAGCCATGGTGATTCCTAAACTCAAGACCTACACCGGGAATCTGGCCCACAGCCAGGACCAGGAATACAACATTTACCAACAGAGAGGAAGGAATCTCAGACACGGAGTTGAATGAACACTTGGCCGGTCTTCAACTGATCTCAGTGAACGTGAAGGAAGCTGCAGTATGGTCTACAATATAAACTAATGTATTAAGTAACACAGGGTTTAGTAGTCTTTAGAGCTGGACAAAGCCCTCAGTATGGGAATAATTCTCCCAACATTAAAGTTTGGCTTTGACAGAGCAGGCATCAGTAAATATATATGTATGTCTAAGAGGAAAAAAAAATCAACCTGCTTGCTTGTGTATCACTTTACCAATCAGAGAATTCCTCACACAAAGGAGTCATTGAGCAGCCAGAGACTGGTGGCATTGTCTATCAAAGGTTACCCCCCCAGCCAGTGAATTTCCTTCACACATCCCACCTCAACATTCTACGCAGGTTAAGTGGAATGAGGATATTTTGTGGAGAATATTATATAACTGTAGTTAAGGGAGGGGTTAGTACAACGTACGACACATGATGAATAAATCAAATTTCATCGCTATTTTGACCAATTTTATCTATTTTTACAAAGGCATTTGTAGAACATAGAGCTATGTTTCACAACAAATGTTTTATGCATTGAACTTTTAGAGGTATAGGTTACTATCTTCAAAATAGAATGGACTAACTTTCTGTTTGTCTTTTTTTCTGTTTTTCTGTTTGCTAATTATAAGCATTTATGGTGCGTTGAAAAGATTGACAATATGTTTAAGCCAATTTTTTAGTTTGCTAATTATAAGCATTTATGGTGCTAACTTGTTAGATGACTACAATTTAAAGTTGTTGATTATTTACCTAGCTTTGTTTGTAACTTTAACATAAGATTGAATGTACTTCCTGTTAGAATAGTTATTATAAACCATATACTGTATTTTGTGTACCTTGCAGGAAGCTCCTGTTCTGGACTGTCCTGGTAGTATCTGATGAAGAACCTCTCGGCATCTTCTCTGTCGTCCTTTGTCACTTGACCGCCGTTCAACACCGACACAGACGGTAGCCTGTGTTGAATGATTTGACAGTAGGTTAATTGAAGCTATTGGTTTTTTTAATATTCTGGTGAGTTTTGACCTATATATATATATATGTATATATATATATTAGCAAACTAGCACAGAGCAAGACAAGCAGTACAGCCACATGTCTGAATAACAGAGCATATGGTTTTAAATATGGGTTGTAGAACTTGGTAGAACCTCAAGATGTGCCAATTTACAGCAGCTGTGTTTCCTGTCAACTTTTAGTGCCTTTGTGACTGCAAAACCTGACCACACTGCTCACTTATAATGGCTTCAAAAAGCTGACGTACAATCCGAGTGTAGAACTACAACATGAAGGGAATCTGGCAAGTAATAAAATCAAATTTCACTTTCCACTGTTGTTACTGCTCGAGAGATCAACAACTGAAAATACTACTCCCTTCTGACGCTGCTATATGAAAAACACAAACAGGAGTGCGTTTCAGACGGACACAGGATACAACAGATGAACAACATCTTTTTAGTCTGGTGTGTCAAAAAAAACATTTGTTAAAATATGACTTTATCATAAAAAGTCACACTTCAAATATTTTTTGACCCACCTTGCCAAAAGGAGGCTATGTCTCTCCTGGTTGGTGTAGGGCTCCAATAAAGGCGTTCCCTTCGCTTTAATTTCTTCCAGCTTTGGGAAGTAGTTCAGCCTTTCAATGTCTTCCCAATTACGGAGCCCTGAGTAAACATGACACTAGGAGTCGTTAGTGATTTTGTATGCTGATTGTAAAATTGTTCAAATTGTTTGCAGTGATCTCCCCTAAGACCTGAGTTGTTGAGGTTAATGCTGCGCAGGTTGGGGAAAAGCCGCTGCAGATTTTCCTGAGTGTCGCCCACAGCCTCGATGTTGTTGTTGGCCAGCACCAGTGTGTTCAAACAGGGGTACATCAAACCAAACTTCCTGACGTCTGCCCAGTCCTGCAACTGGTTGTCTGAAATCTGCAGCAGGCGTAGAGACGGACAGGAGGCCTGTGATTCGGAGACATTCTGGTAGCCATTCAGGCACAGGAAAAGCTCCTCCAATCTGGAAGATTAGGATAAATTAAGTGATGGGATTGGAAAAAATAAAGTGGTTAGAGCGTAATGATGTGAGTGGGGTGTGAGATCAACCAAAATGATGACACCAAGCAAGAAAATACCTACAATACAGTTTTTTTTCTAATTAACAGAAGACTATGCCAATTCACACAGACAATAGTCCTTAGACTGTCACACATAAATAAAAATAATCTTAAGAAATTAATATGAATATTTTTGCATAGTCAGCACAAGCAACTGACCAGAAAATGAACAGCTCATTTAAACCAACCAAGAAAATTTCAATTGTAAACACTTGTGCATATGTAAGCATTAGCATGTAGCATAATTTCATGACTTACTCTGGCGTATGTTGTGTGAGAGTGTGCACGGTCTCCCAGCTGACTTGCGTGTTGATGAGGACCAGTTGTCGGACCCTGGAGAAAATCTCACCCATGCTGGGCTCCAGCTCAACACCACTCAGGGGGTTCATGCTCAGGTTGAGGAAGTCCAGGTGGGGAATGTTAGAAACAATGGTGCAGATCTGGCAACAAAGTTGTAGTACAAAAGTACAAATCAGACTGAGGGATGGAGGAGTTGGACAGAGACATATTGTTTTAAACTGCACCACTAGAGTATGAAGAATTTTTTTTAAAATATTTTTTTAATATAAAATAACGTAACATTTATACAGAAACAGAAATCGTAAAAATCATTAAGTGACCATCAATGTCAATCTGAAAAGACACCCACCTCTGCCCAGTTGTTGAGCTGATTGTGAGACAGGTCCAGCTCCACCACATGGGCACAAAGTGCTGCAATGTCAGACTTTTCTCCAGCTTTTCTGATCCCACAATCGTTCAGAACCAGAATACTGGGCAAGAACAGGCGCTCTGCAAACAGATAAACCTTAACATCTACAGTGCATTGAACATCGTTGCTCTTCAACTTTATAAATAGCAACTTGATGATACAGGTTTTTTGAAACTGTTGGTGACAATTTTCTTCTGCATCTTCATAAACACCATCACCCCTCACCCTTGCTTGGAGATCCTGGAGGACTGGGTAGAATCACCACCCCAACACCGTGGCCATAGGGGAAGTTTTCTGGGTTGTACTTCTCACTGATGACCTGGATGAAGGTGCGTCCCTCCTCTTCATCAGAGGACGAGTCCATGGTTCTAGTCCTGGATTTAAGAATGTCACAACCGTGGAATACAAGAGTGAATAAAAAGTCTAAACTAAAAGAGATGCAATCATTTGATTTTGATCTGGATGACACATCTCTCAGACAACACAAACAGATTTTTTTCATCAGTTCAGACACAGACTCACATCCCTGATTAGTCTCCCTAACACTCTCAGGCACGTGGTTTGATTGGCTCAAACTCAGCTCCATCTGAGGTGGTGGGAGTGTGTGACAAAAACACATGATGGATGGCGTTGCAGATCCAGACTTAGTTTCTCACCTGTGATTTAGCAGAGGCCAAAGTGGAACCCAAATTTAAGCAGCACTTCACATCAAACCCCTCCTCCTCCTCTGATAAAGAAAAATGGGAGAGACATTCTCATGATAAATTTGGTGAACCAGAAAAACTAAGACAACAACAACAAGGAATGCTAGAGAGGTTTTTGTTATATTCTTAGCTGATTTTGCTAACCCTGTAAGTCAACTCTCATTTAGCATTTGGGTGACTCCTTTGCTAACTTATAGCACTTTCTGGGGTCAATTAACGGATGGGTTTGTGTTTGCATATGTACACTGACAAATTAAACTGTTATTTACAATTATCTGATTTGTTTATTACGAAAGCTTTATCATTCATCTTAGTGCAAATATTGAATTTCAGTCGTTTCTAGTCTCTACATGTCTTTTAGCAAATATTTGACCACATTATCTTAATATGTGCTATTTCTGGTTAAGCCTGAAGTCACTTCTGTGAATGTTTTACATTGGCTTCATTTAGGGATACAGCTTAGCCTCCTTCCTTCTGACTCTAGCTTGGTTTAGCCAAATATTGTTGTCTTAACTGTAAATTTCTTAATTAATGGTCTGGATATAGCCGTGATCCAAGTTATTTGATAACCACATATCTTATCTTCTTTCATCTATTTTGTTCAGGGGTTTGAGGTTTGCTGTAAACTGTAAACTCCTTTTAACGCTTACAGGTTTTGTTATTGCTGTTCTATTGTTAATGCTCAAGCAGTCAGACTCGTTCTGTGAGGTTAGTAAAGTGAGACAGTAAAGAAAGGATAATGTAATGCTGAGGTTGGAAACCTGCCTAATGGTATTGAAAAGTTGTGAAACAACGGTTAACATATGTCACATGGGCAAGACCTTTTACACTCAGAAGAAAGGGAAAAGGGAGTCATTTTACTGGCCTGTATAAAATTACCTTATTCAATTGTCTAATTGATTCAAGTTCAAACAAATATTTTCAGATCAATTAAGATAATTTGATGTTTTATGATACATCCTTAATTTTTATTTTTTAAACTGCTTACTATGACACTGGTGGTCACAAGTTAAATTATGTTAGTTTAATATAATAACACATAGCAATAATAAAACTGGTGTGCATGCAGAATTTGATCACATATAAAGAGTAATATGAACTTGATGTTTTGCACTACTGGGTGCACACACACGGTAATAATTTGAGAACTTTTAAGAAAAAAAACCTTTTACAGTGAGGTTTTGTCTATAGTTTACATGATACAGTAAGCTTCTTTGCTAATACGTATTATCTAATTTATAATTAAAGCCGAATTCATTGTTCACTCTCGCATGTTTGATAAACACGTATTATATCCGTATTAAACTACAATACCACTGTTTCATACACAATGACAAGAATGATCTTAAAATATGTAATTTTTTAAATGAACTTCGGCGAAATATTACCAACAGTAATTTTTTAAATGAACTTCGGCGAAACAACGGTTTTGTCTAAGAACAAAGCGTTTGTTTATGCCTGTCTAATAAAACAATGATACATTTTGGATATTATACATTAAAACTCTCACAGTATAATTTTTATGGGCAGTATTGTTATTTGATTGCTGTTAGTTTTTTTGCCAGCAAGATGTCGTCCAAGCCGAATAAAATAAACACAAATAAAAACTCGGAAGTCTGCTTCTAGCTGATTTTAGAACAATGTTATGTCAAACATGAATGAAAACAACATGATGGATGTACTGTCATTGTTTTATGCGAAAACATGAAAATAATTAATGTATTGTTAATGCCGAATGTATTGTTGGGTTAAAATTAACCAACGTAAATAAGCAAAACGCCTGCATGCATATTTACCGTGCAAGAGGCAAGGAAGCCATACAATTCATCAATTTGTCAGCGAGAACTGGTAAAACATGATCATTTCTAAGAACAAAACGCGTTTGTTGGAGGTTCTGTTTATATTCAAGGCCTGGCTGCGTAATGCCGCTCGTAAAAAACAAACAAACAGAAAATACACCAAAACTAAGAGTCTACACTTTGATAGCAGCTTGTGCTTATTCTCAATATGTCCTCGAAGACGAAGGACAACAGTGACAACCTTGAAAAGTGCAGTTACCCGTGTTGTACATTTTCATTATCTACTGCACGTCGAATACGATTAAAATTTCTATGCGACAGTCGAGTCTTTGTTTAGATGCGATACAAAACTTACGCTCTGTGCGTGCAGTTCGGTGTATTTTGTAACGCGTGCGATGTATTTGTAAACAGAAACACTCACCATTTTCCCCGGAACCTCCTCGGTGTAATGTTTGTTTTTGTTATCTTCAGTTAGTTGACAAGTTAAGACACGCCTCCTTTGCCGGAAATGACGCTATTTAAATGTCCTGCTCTACTCTATAGTTTTTATCGTTGCTCAGAATGGTATTAACGTAAGCCGACGTAATGTATAAATTGAATTACTAAAACAAAACAAATGTATACTTAAAAAATACGTACATCTATTTACATGTTACAGTAAGTCCAACATAGGCTACATACATATGAAATTAAGGCTTTAAACCCACACACACGTTTGTAAAAGGTTAAAGTTCGCCAAAAGATAATCAACTATTCTAAAAAAACAAACAAACAAAAAAAAAAACGTATTAGCAAAATATGACAAGTAAAAAAAAAGTCAAAAATGGGAAGTGATGTACCTGATTCAACCACTAGATGGCACCCTTGTCCAGTGTAGAAAATAAAGAGCTCTATTCCGTTAGTACATTTGTGTTACATAACACACCAGTTTGACATCAGTGGGTTACATGAAAATTAAAATGAATAATATATTAACAACAAACAAGAACAATAGCTTAAAAACTAAAAATACGTGCGTCAAAAACCCTGCTAAGGGCAACTTTCTGTGACCTATAACGTTACATTTATACACACATTCATATACTGTATATATATATATATATATATACATATATACATATATAAAGCTCTTCACTAACCTGTAAGCTCTTCACTAACCTGTACTTGGCTTGGATTATCTGTTAGAAACGTGCAAGCATGCCTCTGCACATATGACTGGGAACCAATAGTTGAAGAGTTTGATCATCTAATAAAATCACTAAAGGATAAAAGCACGGCATGGTAGCAGGAAGTGCATGGTCCATGATGGTGTCTAGTCCAGACAACAGGAAGATAACGCAGCATAACACTAGGGGGCGTGGTCCAGAATTTTCTTTAATCCAGAATCATCCTCTGAGTCAGTTAATCTAACAGTGTCAGTGCACTCTGTGAGACCAGAGGGGAAGACAAACAAGGTGACAAGGTTCGAAAACATTGTACTATCATTACTTTTTTATTTTTAAGTGGCCATTTTAAATTTCTTCCGTGTACTTCTAGATTGTCATAATCAAAACAAAGGAAACAGTTGAAAATGGCGCTGCTGAGGTCAGGCTGGCTGTGGAGACAGAGTGAGTGGAAGTGGAATATTGTTTTTTTCGTGTTCTGATAAATGACACCAGATTCATTATTTTATTGTTGTTGTTTATCTCCAGAGTGAGAATTTAGATGTTTTTGTACTTTTCATTAACCATTTATATCCTCCGCAGCATATCACATACTGTATATAAACGTATCATCGTTCAATTTATAAATATATATTGTAAATATATCAAGTTATTTTATGGATAAAACTGGATTAAAATAATGTATTAGAATTTCCTAGTAGATGTTTCTAGAGAGTAAAAAGTGCAACTGTTATGAAACTTTAAACCCTGTCTTTTTCCAATCCCATTAATTCCTTGTGTATCTTTTGTAAGGTGCTTAACAAGATTAGGAAATAAACATGGGCACATACTACACACAGACTTATGTGACTGTAGCATTTTTCTAAATGGTCTCTATATAATGCCCAAATTAATGCCATTTACCTGAAATTTACTATTTCTTATGCAGTTTGTTATTATGAATAATGACATAATTTCTTTATGGCCAACCTTTAATAATCTCTAACTGTTGTATAATTTGCCATCTCTGAGCCAAGTGGCTCTTGTTTCCTCCACTGAAAGCTGCTGACTCCAGCAGTTTGAATACCCGAAGAACATTCTGTAATTCTTAACACCTGTCTTCACTTCAGCGTCTGTTCTTAAACGCTGGAAGTTAAACTGGTGTCATCTTTGGATCGATGGAAGCCTGTGTTTCTACAAGACAGACAAGAGACGTGAGGTGGAGCACCGGGTCAACTTAACGTCAGCTTGTGTAGATGTAAGGTCGGGCCTGGAGTGTCGAGGTATGAGGTTTAAGATCACATAGGTCTATGAAAAAAAACCCTTTTTTTGTAACTTTTCATATTTATCTAACGTACTGGCAACCTGGGGGTTTATGGGCCTATGGAACTGAATTCCTGAAGACATCAAGTATAACTTTGAATGATGTGAAAATATATGTTCAGATAAACTGAACCATATCTAGAGTAAATTCTACATCTAGAGAGTCCAGTGATGACATTGTTAGGGTGCCAAAACAGAAATTGCAGGATGTAATACAATGGAAGAGTGGCAATTGAGTACCATAGCAGTACCAGTACCATAGCACCATAGCACCTATGGTGACCTCTGATTAGAGATACAAGACAAAAAACCCTTGTTTAGTCAGTAGCAAATGAAGTCAAAAGACATGACAGACCTTTTGCTACCAACTAACAAATAACCTTTCACTAAATTGTTAAAACTTGAACAACAGCAATTTGACAAAACATGGTAAACACAACAATACGTCGCTCTATGTATGTATAACTTTTTAACCTTACTCGTGCTAGAACCTAATCAACTCTTGGAATTGCTTGCTAATAGCAAACCAACCAATGTATAGTCATCAAACTTCTGTATCTGCAGGTGTGACTCCACCTGAGAACAACCCCAGGGAAAATCTCATCATGGTTCAGCTCACAGATGGCTCCACCGTCAACCTGTGCGCCCACAGTGAAGATGAGTCTCTGTAGGTTCTCTCACAGCACTCTTCTCTTCTGTGACTGTGAATTTGATCTAATTCTCTTTGTATCTGTATTTTAGAGCATGGAAACTGACTCTGCTGGAAATTAGGAGAAACCTGGTGAGTGCACAAACATACATACAGTGATTTGTTAATGTTTTTAACAGTAGACGTCAACCCTGAAGCAACTCAACCATTTCTTTTTTGCTGTAGGTATTCACCTATGACCCATATAATGACTCGTACCAGGCGGTCCCCATCAATAGCTACCAGACTGTCTACTTCTCACCTGCAGCAGGTACTGTATGTTCCGGTATGTTCTGGACACCTGAGGATTCAACACGTTTGTTTTGGCTTTTCTTTTGATCTGTTGATGAGGTGACAAAAACCCTGAAAAAAAGGAAGAAAATCTGGTTAGGTGCCAAATAGTCCTAGTAAGACGTGCAGGTTTAACCCTTGGCTTATAGCAAATGTTCAGAATGTTACCGTTTAGGTTACAGTTTTCAGGAACAACACACTTTAAGAATCTCAGGCTTCACAGAAAGCCTGCTGTTTTTAATGATACCCTCCTGCCCTACTGCACAACTAACTTAGACCCACAGGCAACTTTCGTAACAACCTATTGACCTTTCCTGTTCTGCTGACAACTGCAGAGCTATTTTTGTTTTGCTGTGCCCTTTTCCCCAGGAACTCACCAGTTTGTAGTTCAGAGAGACCCCTTTGATCGGACCATGGACACGTTAGCGCTGAGTTTACTTGGAGGAATAGCAGCAGGTGTGGCCATGAGAACATTCCTCTGGACGCCTCTGTTTTTCTGCTGAGGTGGGATCCACCCCCATCTGTTGACTTCAGGGCTGTTTTTTCTGCTGAGGTGGGATCCAAGCTGGAACTTTACTAAGCGCCACCCCCATCTGTTGACTTCAGGGCTGGATACACTTCCTCCTGCGGCCCCGAAAAAAGATTAAGCAGTAGAAGAATAACTAACTCTTATCAAATTTAGTGCAGTACATTATTGAGGACACTAGATAGCACCATTATGTTTAGTTCGGAAATAGATGCACGATCGTTATTTTCAAAAACAACGATTGGTACAGGATTACAGAATGTCACGTGGAGTTTGAGCTTTCCAATAAATACAGGTCATTTTTTGTTTGCTGTTTTTTTTTTCTTTTATTTTCTTAATAAACCAACTAGTACCCAACTATTAGTCCAGTCAGGGTCCAACACTCCCTTTCAACAGGCATGTGGGTAAAAAAGGTGCAACCAAACAACTTGTTTTTATTTATATCTGTTCAGTGTGAATGTGTCATTTTCCCCATTCATTCTTGATGTCTATCAGTAATGGTGACATTACAACATAGCAGCTCCTTTAGGTTTCTGATGCCCCTCTGCTCTGTCAGTTATAGTTCTTAATATCCTCCCTCCTTTAATGCACTTCTACATTGCTTATTTGGCAAGTCCATTCATATTAAAATTATTTCTCTTTAGTGTGGCCATAGCACAAAGTCTTTAAAAAAATAGTGATCACTTTTAGAAATAGATTTCTTTCTTCTTGCCATTACTCCTCTTTCAGCATGACTGAGCCCTTGGTCTTCCCTCCATTGTCTCCTAACTTTCCTTCTGCTTGAAGTTTTCGGATCAGATTGTGTGGGCCTTTGCCCATCAGAGCCGACGGGTGTCTGTAGGAGCCTCCCAGGCGGTCCCACAGTGTGAAGTACTGGCCGTAATTGTAGTCGAAGAAGAGGTGATGGTCAGTGTGGTGTGCTGAGCCATTAATGACGCTGATCAGGGAGCTGGGAACTCTGTAGTCGCCATCATGTATAGAGATAGTCCAGATGTTGACGAAAACATAGAGACCCAGGTACAGCACCTTGTGGAGAGGGAAGAAGAAGGGGTAGATGTGGTAGGGGAGCCCCTGCAGGAATCCGTCCACTGGGTGGAAGGCGTGGCTCGCAAAGGGAGTTGGGATTTTCCATATGTGGTGAGGTTTGTGAAAGAACTGTCAAAAAATGAGATGGAAGAATTTATAGATCAGACATGTTTCTAATCAAATTTCGTTTAACGTCACATGGTGATGGAAACAAAGATGCAGAATGGACTCCGGTCGAACTCACCTTGTATATAAGCTTGTGGTGTAGGAAGCGGTGAATCCAGTAGATACACATGTCAGTGAAAAACAGGAAGGAAATCATACTCAGGAAAAGACCAGGCCAACCTGAAAACACACCACTGCAACATCAGGAACTCAACTCCTTGTGACAAACGCACAGGAAATGTTAGGAGAACTGAAGATGAAACTTTTTTTAACATACCCAGTGGAGATTCATCAACGGCGTCGTACAGTTTGCTGTATCCTCGTACTTCAGCAAAAAACAGAGCCACAGTGGGAAGGCTGATCCAGGGCAGAGAGGTCATGGCATATTTGATCTCCCTCTGAACCTGATTCTGAGGTAAAGATAAATATATAGATGTCAAACTGCACCTTAAACAATGGAATAAAGAAAAAAAAGAACACTTGGATATCAAAGTTTTACAATGTCCAGTGACAATCAGGCTGTTATCACGATAAATGTTTGGACGTTGGACTTGTCACTGGACATCACGATAAATGTTTGGACGTTGGACTGCTAAGGGATAAACGTGCACTAATTGACTCGATCTATCTACAGTAATGAAGTATTACAACGTATTCTGGAATGATCGTCTCGCTGAGCTTCCACAGATCACCACTAGGAGTCGTCAGCTCATTGCTACTCATTATTGCTACCACTGCTTCAGAATTGGAGTAGACATACAATAACAACCTACCTGTTACTGAACTCTAAATCAGTGTTCAAATCAATAAACAACATTTGAGATTCCCTCATGGATATACATCCTGCTCTAAAAACTAAGTTCCTTTTTCTTTTTCTTCAAAGTCACAATGTTGGCTCTGCTTAGGTCATGAATCACACAAATGGGCAACATTTATTGACCATGGCCATTAAGGCCATTAAAAAAAATGTAGCCCTCAGGCATTTACTGCCAACCACTAATGACGCTACAAAAGGCTAAAAACAGTTGTATAAATTATGTGCTCTTGTTTCGTTTTTTCTTACCCGAGTAATTAAACAACAACAGGCTCGTTTACCTCTAAAAAGTGTGGGTGCTTCATCAGCTTGTGGTCAAAGACTAAGAAGTAACTGATGGCTCCCAGGCCCAGGTAGAGGATGGCAGCCCCAAGGTTGGTCAGCACCAGGAGGCTAATAATCTGCCGCAGGGTGCCATCCTCAGGCCACGACGCTGGGTACACGTACGGGGTGAGGACGTAATGATCGGCAACATTCAGCACCAGATCCATAGTGGAATCTATAAAGAGTTAAAGAAAACCAATGTGAATGAGAGGTAGCTGTGGTGTTTTTTTAATAACATGTACGTGCAGCAACAAGTGTTTGATAAGTGTTTATTTGTGTCATTACGGAACAAGTACAAAGGTGAAGAGGGCTTGAATAATGGCTGTTCTCCTGTTAACGACACAAGGTAAAATATCTTTAGGAAAGAGACATATGTCTTCTGAAACTTAAAAAAAAATCCGGCTCAATAAGACTTGCAACCAAACGATTTAATCCAAACTGCTTAAAGATCGATTTGTATTCTTAAACATTTGCAAGCACGTTCTCGCTCTTCTCTTATATTAACACACTTTTATAGTCATTGTAGCAATTTAATCGCTACATTGTGTTAGGCCGGGCATACACTGTACGATTTTTAAAAAAAATCTTGCCTTAAACGCAACACATGTAAAACATCACGTTTCAGTATGTACCGATGACATGTGGAGCAATATGTATCAAGATTTGCACAAATAAATTACTAACGGCAATTTTAAAAAATGCAAAACGATTACTGAACAACTAGGCAACTCGGACATATCCACATATAACAATGTTATCTTTATCAATGTTATCTTTTTCATTTAGAAGAGAAAAGATTAACTATACCTTTTGCTGGCTGCTGTTTCCGGACCACAGCGATAAAGGGATGTGTGCAGCGCTAAAGCTGACCTGACAGCCAATCACCGACAAGTTAGCTGTTACGTCACAGCAAGGGCAACTAATCAGAGTTCCGAATCTCATCACGCGCACCGTTGTTATGACTCCCGATTGGCCATTCGTCAGATCTGGTCATGGCGTTACAGAAAACAAACGACTCACGTCTGTGTCAACCTGCACATTTGCACTTGGCCCACGGCTCCATGTTTAACCTATATACAAATTTCTGCTCAAACGAACTCAAAAGATGACAGTAGGTGTCGAAAAGTGTCAAAATATAGCAAGTCCAAATAAAATACATGCCTGAGTTGTTCAGTAATGTTTGGCCGTCCCGTTAACCCCGAAATTAGTTGATTTTGTACAATTTCTCCCATGATGCAAAGCGGAGTTCCGTGATTGGGAGATCAAGTTGTAGCTTTTTTTAGCGATCTGGTAAAACCGGGGCTCGTAATATGTTCCGCCTAAGTTTCACTGACTAGAGAAAACTCAAAAATGTCTTGCTGTAAAGTATTAATACACCAATATTATATACAACATACAATATGTATGTATGAGTAACACATTCGCAGATTCACGGAACTGCAGAGTTTATTTTCTCAACTTGTATTAACTTTGAAGACTTTTTTCCCAACTTGCTATGATACAAATAGCCACAAGATGTCACCATTGTCCCGAGCCATAAAACTTTATTCTCGTTATATAAAATACAATTCAATAAAATACAATATAAAAATTCCAGGGCGATAAAAAGAAATAAAAGCAATACATACGACATTGAAATTATATTAACACGTTTATATTTCCCTTTCATCCTATCACAGTTGTTTTTATTTGAAAAACAAAAACAATACAAAAAACAAACAAACAAAAAGATCTCTGATTTGTTCTTATTTCGAGCAATTAAGTCTCTTAATGTACTATTCAAATATTCAGGCTTTTATTTAGGACTGTTTTTAGTCCCTGTTCAATTGTTTACCTTTTCTTTTGTTTAATCTAGAAAGTAGCATCTAGTGCCAATTTTCTCTCTGATCAATTTTCATTATGGTGTTCACATTGTTTCCAATAAGTGGCAAAGTACTTTAACTACTCTTCTTTGTGGTACTGAAAAAGAAAACAAAGAAACCTAAGGAAATCTTAAGTCCTGCAAAATTAAAGAAAAAAAGTTTTGTTCTTTAACTCTAAAAGTATTATTATTTTTCCGTGGATATCAGCAAACACCTTTAACTTAATTTCTTTCCTATAACAGTAACCCCTTTACATAAGCCCCTGTAATGGTTTTAAACTATTATTGCCTACAGTATATTCACAAAACCATTTTGTGACCTAAAAATATCTAATACATCTTACTAGGATTTTAATGTAGTCTGAAAATTTGAAATATGCAAATATAGGGCTCACAGATGGTGGATAACCAGCTAAATAAGACACGTAATTCTAATTTATAAGTATTAATAAAAGTTTCCATGGGCTACAAGTGATTGGAAACCTGAATTTAGTTTAGTTCTTCGAAATAAGAATAGAAATCAAAATGATGAAGAGAATCAAAAAGAGGATGATTAATGAGATTACGGTTATGATGAATAAATTGAATATTGATGAGGATAAATTAGATTAAGATGTGGAAAAGGAGGATCTTGAAGGAAAAGCAACATATTTTTTTCTTCAAAACCTCTTAAAATAAAATAAAAAAAATGCAGGAGGAAGGGGAAAAAGAAAAAATAATATATAGACAAAGAGAATAATCCACGTTTTAACCCACAGAAGAAATGCCATTGCTTGGCAACCGGGGTACACAGTACAAAGTACACAGCTTGTAGGCCATGAGTAACTAAAAAACTAAGACAAAGTCAAAGAGTCCAAAGGCCAACACACGGTCACATGTGGTGGAGTTTAAAAGACTGTCCAGAGAAGGACTGTGGCACCTTCAGCTGCAGTGGAGTCATAACGAACTGGACAAACCGTCAGTAGGTATTTTCCAGGTTGTGATGGCCAGTGTAAACTGCATTTGTTCACGCATTAGTTTGCAGCAGATTCCCTTCCATTAGTATGACAGGCAGCACGGCTGCTGCCCTTTTAGCACCGCGCTCCTCTGCCCGACTCTTTAGCTGGGCTCGTGGTGCCGCGAGGATGGCAGATGGCGTCACTTTGTGTTTACTGATACAGAGCTGGAGGCCATCTGATCATAAGTCATATCATAATCACGACTCACTCTGTTCCAGCAATATGCCAAACATTTGGTATCTTAACATGTCAAGTTAATGGTGATTTAGAGGACGTAAAAATAGCTCCTGTGAAAACTGAAAAACTGAACAAGACAAATGAAACCATATAGGTTTAGGAGATGGTTCAAAGAAAACGTTTTGCTTAAAGTGACATGATGATCCCACCCATCAAATTGGTGCGGGTGGAGGACTAACAATTATTAAGCAGATCATTTTTGGGTGTCTCTTTTAAAAAAGCAAAAATAGATGATAAAAAAACGTTTAAAATTTTAAACACATTTTTCAGATTAGAAATAAACTGCCTGAATTAACCTTGATTCACCTTGGGCTAGTTGACCCAACAAAGAGTGACATGAACAAAAACAAGAATAAGTGTCATAGTGATGAATTAAGTGAAATGTGAAAAGTGAAAGTCAGGTATAAAAGACAAAGATCATACAGGAGGATCTTTGGGAAACAATAGTCTAATGGCAACATGGGATTATTCCTGGACACTTTCTGGACTTTGATTTTGGTAACACGAAACACCAAAACAATCAAATAACAGACTTTTGCATTAAAGCATCTAACAAAACAAAAAATAAAAAATAATTTGCTTTTTGTGCATGTGAGCCTGCCATAAAATATGTGATGGAATACCTGTTATGGATCCAGTTTGTTCCAGAAGGTTTCAACTGGAACTGTTGTAGAACTTGAGAAGAAAGTTGATGTTTGTGGGAAAAAAAGGAGAGCTGGAGTCTTACTCTCAGCCTGTGGAAGTATCTCCCTCTGTGTGTGCACGCACAGACACAGGCAGACACACAAACCAATCAGGGTATCCACAGTGAGGCAACCGTCACGCTGAGCCCCAGATAACCTGCTGCTCGTCATCTCCTCAGTAGGCACTTCGGGAAACGTAATCAAAAACTGGAAAAGAAAAAGTTGTCACAAACACAGACACAGGAACTGTTCAACTTTTAAAAGTGCACACAGTGGATTATATTTGGTGTTAAAGTGCAAGTCTGTCCACCCACCCTCTGTTGGTGGGTGGAGATAAGGATGGAGCGACGTCCAGAGATGTTGATATCAACTTTGGGTCGGGGCTGTAAATCAACCAGGTGCATTTATTCTTTCTTTTATAGTTTTAAACAACCCTTCAAGTACAAATACGTGTAGATTCTTTGCATACGCAACACTTTAGTGGTGCTGAGCACAGACTATCTGTCCACCTATTTTATTCTGGCACCTTCTCTCAGCTCCAGCACAGATGGAGCCTAATATTCTGGTAACATTAAGTTTAAAAAGCTGCCAATAAAAAACAGGCCAATGAAAGCAAACAGGCCTAAAATGGCTCAGTAGACAAAAGTTTAATGGTTTTAGTAAGAAAACACCTCCACCATCATTACCTCCACCGTCCAAGCTGTGTTTGTGGTTTTAAAGCCAGTTCCTTAGAGAATCTGTTTGGTGTGGGCCAAAGGAAAAGCCATTAAGTGTTGGAATGAATCCGTTGAAGGGAGCAGATCCAGGGTTTTTAAAAAAAATGATTTTTTTTTAACAAGGTGATGTATGTGCGGACGGAGAGCCAGTTTTCTCTCTCTGTGAGAACGGTGGTGATGAATGGCTTCTCTCCCCGGAGATTTTGCATGAAAACTTTAAATGAATTGAAAACTAAAGTTTTCCAAAACATCAAGGTGGGAGCTGAAATAAGCTGAGAAATACTTCAGTAAAGTACACCAAAAATATCAGCACAAACAACAAGTGGGCTGCGTATTGGTTACCTTGAAATAAGAGGCCCAACTAGACTGGCCCATACTACTGTCCAAATGTGTTTGTTTGTGACCCACATTCTTTGTAAAAGAAGGGGCTTCCAATGGATTATGGCACGCTGGACATAAGTGAACCACTGCCGTAATGCTTGAATGATAACAAGCCACTGTTGCAATTTCAATTGCAAAATTCATCTGATCAAATGTAAGGCAAATCAGGTGGGTTTGTGGGCGACATTTTGGATACCACCTGTGGTCCACTGTGAAAGCTGTTTTAATTGCTGTACGTCAGCTAAGGGAAACAGCGTGCATGTTCTTACCATGTCAGACCGGTTTTCTCCAGTCTAGAGAGGGAATTACTAATGTTCTTATGTAAAGTGGAACCAACATGGACGTGCAGGTTGAGCAGAGACCTGGACGTACGGCACAAAAAGATGTGTTCAGTGTCTGAGTGATCCTGCTTCAAAGAAAAGTAAGAAACCAGCCAACGATCCATAAAAACCACTTCACCTCCTCTCTGGATACAAACGTTCAGGCTGCAGCTGCCGCTCTTTAGAGGGTTTGATGCCGGAGCTGCATCTGCTCATACATAACAGATTCATAAAATTTCATGAAGTCAGAATTAATTCTGAAATGCAGATTACGTCGAACTGCTCACTAGAGTGGATTTATGTGGCAAACGTTGAAATCAGAGGCTGGTTTTCTGCTGGAACACTTTTTATATAACAGTTGATAACAACAGCACAAAGACGAGGACATGAAACACACAACTGGCAGACTCAGAAACTGTTCCAAGAATGTTATTGTACACAGTAGCACGGGCACTGTTAGGGGAATCCAAAAATACTTGGCTAAATATAAAGCTTAAAAGGCCCAACCTGGACAGAAAAAAATGCCTCTACACCTACGTCAGACCAACATGAGAAGCCAAGAACAGAGCATGTTTGGTATGCAGCCCGTTTGGGTTATGAGATTAGGGTTGCAAGGTGACTGACAGTCATCATCCACACTCATCTCCTGTTTTTTCCCGAGACATGATAAATAGTTTGGGGGATCCTTTATGCTTGGACTGTCATCCTTTTACAGTCGCACTGGTCGGCACATTTTAATTAGGAAAA